GATTCTATCTGAAAAAAAACCCTAAGTGACACCAAACCAAAAAAGAGAGAGAGAGAGACTACTTCATACCCACTGAGATGGCTGTAATCAAACAAGGTAAGTAGTACAAGGATGTGCAGAAATTGGAACCCTTACACATCTCTGGAAGAATTATAAAATAGTATATTCGCATTGAAAAACAATCGGGCAACTCCTCAAAACATTAACCAGAGGCTGGGTGTGGTAGCTCGCACCTGCAATCCTAGCTACTAGGGAACTGGAGATCGGGAGGATCCTATTTTGAGGGCAGCCCAGGTGAAAGTTTTGAGAGACCCAAACCAATAAAAGCTGGTGCACACCTGTCATCTCAGCTACACAACAAGCAAAAACAGGATAGCGGATCAGACTGACCTGGGTATAAAGCAAGACTCTATCTCAAAAGGAACCAAATCAAAAAGGGCTGAGCAAGGTAGCCTAAGTGGTGGAGTACAGTCCTGGCAAGCATGAGGCCCTGACTTCAATGCTACCAGTTACATAAATACCCAGGAGAAATGAAGTCCTACGTCCACAGAAGAACTTATGCATGCTCAGAGCAGCATTATCAATAGCCAAAAAGTAGAAGTAGCCCAAAATGTCCATCATCTGATGGAGGAAGAGATGTGGAATATGCATACAATGTAGTGTTTGGCATTGATTAAGAAGGATACATGCTGCAACATGGATGAACCTTGAGTCAAAGAAGCCAGTCATCACCATTTATATGAAATGTCTAGAACAGACAAATAATGGATTGTGGTGAAAACTGCACAACTCCATGAATATTAACTGAAAAAAATCATTGCGCTGTACACTTCGGGTAAGTGAGCTGTGTAGCATATGAGTTGTATTTCAATGAATGTAACAAAAAAGTTCCGGTTTGAATAAAAGACAACTTAAAATTCTGGAAAGTTTTATTATGAAAACAAAACAAAGCCAATTAAGCATGAAAGAATTTCATTTCTTTTTAAATGCTTGAATCTTTCCCTTTATTTACATATTTTCAAGGTAATGAATTAGCAGTTAATAATCTTCCAAAGGTGACCAACTAGTATGGCTTGTTTCAGTTCATTTATTTTTTGGTGGAACTGGGGTTTGAACTCAGAGCCTCGTGCTTGCTAGGCAGGCGCTCTACCACTTGAGCCACTCCACCAACCCTACTTTTTTTTTGAAAGAAGGTCTTACTCTATAGTCCAGGCTGGACTTGAACATTTTTTTTTCCCTTTGGCAGTATGAGGGTTTGAACTCAGGACTTCACACTTGTTAGGCAGGTACTCTTTACCTCTTGAGCCATACCTCCAGTCCTTTTCACTCAGGCTATTTGAGATGAGATAGGGAGGATCTCACCTTTTGCCCCAGCTGGCTTGGCCCCCTATTTTACACTTCCCACTAACATTGGGGTGAAAGGCACCAATGTGTCCAGTTTTTTCTGTTGAGATGGGGTCTCCCAAACTTTTTTGTCAGAGCTGGCCTGTAACCACGATCCTACCGACCTTTAGCCTCCTCTGTAACTTGGATGACAGGCCTACACCACCATGCACCCTATAGTTGAGGTGGGATCTCATTAACTTTTTGCTCTTGCTGGCTTTGAACTGTGATCCTCTGGAACTCAGCTTCCAAGTAGATAGATTATAGGCCTGAGCCACCAGCTGGCCTCAAACTCTTGATCCTCCTGCCTCACCATCCCTATGGATATGGATGACACTGCCAATGTAAGTCACCATGCCCAGTAAGAATTTCATTCTTGATAAAAGCAGATTGAATGTTACAAAGTCTAAAGTAAACTAGTTTGTAAACCAACTCTTTTAAAGGATTTATATTGAGTTTTATACTTTTGTAAATATGTTATCTAAATTATAGGAGGAACATATTGTCATAGATATGGCTCAGATGTCAATATTCATAAAGGTAATTATACCCATCTTTTGTTAAATAGGTGTAGAAGTTATTTAAAGCATGAAAGGGCAGTTTATGGGCTCTGTATGTTTCTTTCTGATACCACTGTTCCACCAAGTATAGTGTATATAGCGATCACAAGTGTTCTCTCATAGAATTGCGCATAGGCCTATGTATGTCAAGATTAACATGTTGCACTTTCCAAGAGATTTATGAACAGGAAGGATTCAAAGAGACCTTTATACTAAATTAACAAATCTGGTTCCAGAATATCCTTTTTATTATGGAAATAAATAAGTATAATGTTGAAAAATTTTACTAGACCGAAAATAGTTGAGTCATATATATTCCTTTGTACTTTTCATATCTTCTTTTATTTAAAATATCAACCCTACACATTCAAAAACTTCATAATTTCAGTAAGAAACTGTTTGATTTTACTTGCAACTTATAGAGCCATGATTGTAATACACACTGAGATCTAAAACTATTAGCAAAAAATGACAAGAGACACTATGTATTTTAAAAACTGGACAAATGTAGAGAGTATATTGAGATGTAAGTCAGGTAGTTATTTGCTTTATAAAAGGTTATTAAATACACAGAATAATTAGTAACATGTCCTTTAAATATTCATGCATTAAAAATAAATTTACCAAAAGATCAACTTGCATACAACTTAAAAAACCCCACCAACTGAAAAAAGAGGCACTAGTTTTCTCCACAAAAGGCATCAAAATGTTTCAATAGTTCAAAAATAAGAGCCCAAACCAATTGATTTCTCACAAACAAAACAACTTAGTAAGAGAGCTACTCAAGAAATTAATCTATTTTAAGCATATTTCTCAACCCAAATTTTAACACACTTTGATTTACATTTCTGCTATTCTTTGACTCAATCTGGACCACATAGAAGTGAGGGTCAGGACGCTGAGGCTATTCATGATTTGGGTTAATGTCCTGAAAAAAAAATGCATCTGTACATATACAAAGTAATTAAGAAAAAAGCAGTAAAGTACAATACATACTCCTTAGGTTGTAAAGCTAACAAAAGCACCAAGATATAGATGCCAAAGTTAGAAAAAATATTAACCAGTGGGTCACTATTTCATATCAAGTTAGTTTCAGTTATTGGATTATTTGGCATTTGGGAAGTGAAATAATTTAGAAATCCTTAACAAAGAGTTGCTTATTACTGAGTTGAAGTTAGAAATGACTACAGGAAAGAGATGACTCTTATTTTTTAATTGTGATGCTGGGGATCAAACCCAGGGCCTCAAGTATGCTAGATAAGAGCTCTATCACTGAGCTACACCCTACCCCACTCTTTTCATTAATAAGGAATAAAGTTACCGACACTTCCTTGGGAAAAATAAATGGATAATATTTTAGGGAAAGTATAAATTAAACTTAAAGAATTTAAGGCACTTATTTCAGGGGGTTTGCAATATCAAGGGCAAAGTATGTTTTATATTTTTTTTTGAGAAATTTGTTCCATCTGAAACCCATACTTTTCTTCTTCACAGATCTTTATTGTTGAACCTAACACTTGTTAAGTTACCAAAGTATAATTACTTGCAGAATTCTTAATCATTTGTTTACAAATAATAAGTGCTTCCTGCTCAAAGTATTCAAGTACTATGTTTAAACTACAATAAAGATAGAAGCAAATAAGCCTTATCTTTTATTTCCAATACAATCATTTGTATAATTAAGCTTATTTGTTCCTTTAAATTGATTCTGAATAGTATTATTTTTAAAATTCAATTAAAAATTCTCCAAATCTATTTTAAGAAATAAATTGACAAAAGTAAAAGCAGCTGAGTTACACAGCAAATAAAACACACAATCAAATCTAGTTCAACATGTGATCATAATAAGGCAATAAAAATTCAGCTGAATATTTCATACTACGTAAGAAGTAGGGTGTTCCACTTCCCTTTCAAAACAGGCAAGCTGACTTAAATTACGTTGTTTTGCATGCTCTAATCAAAGTACTACCACGTGACTATTCACTATGTACTTAGGTAACTATGGTCATATTTTCATAAAGCTTGATGCTAAATACTAGTGACTCACTAAGATGTAAAGAGTCAATCTGAAATACACTGCCTGCACCTATCTTTAATTAAAACAATTACATATATAAAAAGTGAAATGAGAACTTATTAGATATATGACACTGCCATCAAACAATTAAGCTCCAAAGGAACAAAGCATCCTAGAGTTGTCTAAGAATGCATGTACTTTAGAGTTCTGAAAATGCAATTCTTACAATATTCTAACAAGTGAAAAATCTGAAAACCTGTTCACTGAACAGTGTATAAAGTAAACTAAACATGCATCTCATCTTATTAAAATGATATAGCCATAGGCAACATCCATCCTGAATCTCTTTAAAAGGCCAAATTATTTTAGAATTTCTTTGAATAAATGATTACAAATATGAAAATGCTTAAAGGAACACAGACATTTATACTGTGAATCTGTATTGAAAATATTATAGTTGTCATTTTGTTCTTAATGTTGAAAATTGTATCACCGCTTCATAAATATCATCACTTTGCATTTTAAAATAAAGAGGTATATTTAATAGTATCTGCATATACCTCCAGAAGCTGGTACTCATTGTAGTGTACATATTCTAAGTTTTAATTATTTACTTAATACTTTCATAGAAAATATGTGAATAGATTATATACCCTATATCCATTTTTAGAAAAAAAATGAATGACATTCTTTAAATGTCCATTAAAAAATATATACATTTAGGTAACAAGAATTACTGTTTTATAATGATGAAATTATTATCAAAGAAATGTCATAAGTGAAAAAAGGTAACCACTTAGTAGACAGTCATAAAATAATAAAATGCAGTAACATGCACTATGTGTTACTAAGAAATGCTCACTTATATAAGCTGCAGTGATGAGACAGTGTCATGGAAAATTCTGGATATATATTTACGAATATCCTTAAAAGTCACTTTCCTTTATATAATTTTCATTTTAATTTAAATGTCACGTTTTCAACTAACATTTAAATTATTTTTATTGTAAAATTTTAATTGTTATAACCCACTGGCCACCTTCAGAAACTAACTTGAAGAGTAATCTTTCCTTCTGTTACATAATCATATCACATTAAATATTTATTAAATATTATGCTCGAGAAATATTATGCTATGACCTTGAACATATTCAAATTCAAGGTCAATGTTATAATAGCATGAAGATTTATGGGGAAACACTGCAATAGGGAAAATCTTTGAAGACCATGTGATAGTAAGGAAGATGTCCGTCTGGAATACTGCAGAGTGGTGGATTTGAGATTTTACTAAAGAAAGGTAATGCTTGATCTTCTATTTTCCTCAAAACCCTGGACCCAGTTAACAGCAGGAGGGGAAAAGGAGCAGCAGCATTTCTAATGTCCACACTCTGATCTGCAACAGACACAGCGCAGGTAGAAGAAAATCGCATTTTACTTCAAGTAGCTTAAGTCTTTGAAATGAAGGCTGTTTCTTTTCAAGACTGGAAGGATATCACAGTGTTGATTTTATATACAAAGTAGGACCTGTTCCAGTATACTCTGGTGAAGTAATTCACATATGGAGAATAGTTAATTTTGACCTCATGACAAAATCGTCCATATTTTGAGTAGGTTAACTTTTCACCTTCTTCACAAACCACCTATCAAAAGATAAGAAATATAATATTAAAAAGCTTACTAAACTTATAGGAATAATGCAATTCTTGCTCAAGTGACTACATTTACATGAAAACTATTATTGCTAAACATGGACTATAAAACATGTCACATTGTTTAGCAAATATAAACCTCTTCATTACTGAGTCACCAAGCCCACTAAATTCCAATCAGATTGAGAAAACAGTAATAAAATGTTTCAAATTTTAAAACATTTAATCCTAAAGCTTAGTAACCACTGTTTTCATTATCTATTATCTTTGCTTTGAAGAACTGTATCATAGAGCCTACAAAGGCTGAAAAATGAACATATTATATTCCTACTCTATATTCAAACTCATGTAGAACTGACTCATAATTACCTAGTAATCAAGTAAGCTTGTGTGACTTATCCAATGTAAACCTTTATGTTCTCATCTAATGGTGCTTACTAAGACAGTTTAGCTTACTTGAAGGCTTTTTAAAGAATAATAAAATACTAAATATTATCCTAATGCCTATGAAAGATGAGAGAAAGCCAACTTTAAGAGTAAAAAGATGGGGGAGGGAGGCAAGGGGGAGAAATGACCCAAACAATGTATGCACATGTGAATAAGTGAATAAAAAAAAAAAAAGAGTAAAAAGATAGAGCTGAAACCATGGCTCAAACTGGTAAAGTGCATGCTTAGCAATCATGAAGCCCTGAGTTCAAACCCCAGTGCTGCCTCTCCCACCAAAAAAAGAAAGAAAAACAATAAAAGGATGGATTAATTTAAGTCTATGCCTGGCATTACATGAAAGAAGTGGCCTGATTTCAAAATAGAGCAGAAAGGTAAGTAGCCAAGAGCAGAATAAAAAGGTTCCAGATAGCTGTCTAGTAGTAATTAATAAATAAAATACTTAATTACATCTCATTCTGTTACCAATAAGTCAAAGAGCACAGTCACCAGCAGAATAACACAGAATAAGTTTGTATTACAAGTTTAAGGGGTCATGAAGGAAAGGAAAATGAAAATCTCTAAAACTAATTTTCCACCTCCAAACTAGACTAGGATTATAAAACAAAGCACTATGATTACTTAGAAAGGGACAGAGTCAAAATAGAATGTGTACTACAACTCAGAATGACTTACTAATCTTTTCCTAAAGTTCCCCATGCTCGATTTTCTCAGGAGTAAATCCATCCCAATAAACACTATTAGATTTATAAACTCCCCTGCCAGTCAGCTTGGTTACCACATATCCTGTATATCCACTACAAACTGAGAGTAAGAAAACAGTAAAATAGCTAAAATCAATGTCAAAAGTAAGATCCAGTTAACTCCTGAAAACTAAAGTGACCTGGAATACACTGACTTCTGTGGATAATCAGGACTCATTGCACAAGTACTGTGTTAATTTAATTTAGCAAGCATTTTTTCCACAATCAAATGACATGCGATTATTCAACATAAGAATATGACAATGCAACCAGCTGCTCTTTAGACTCTTATAATGTGTTACAATAAACTCATTCAAATCAAAGTATGCCATCTTTTGTTTATAAATGCTGACTGGGGTATAATTATCTGGTAGAGCATTTGCTTAGCATGCCCATGAAGTTCAATCCCCAGCATTGCTTAAAAAACAAACAGATGTTTGTAAATGATGAAACACACACAATGAATGTATGAATATATGCAACGAGCAAGGAATGTGGGAGTGGCTCAAGTGGTAGAGAGCTTGCCTAGCAAGCACAAAGCCCTGAGTTCAAGCCCAAGTACTGTCAATTAAGAAAAAAAGAAAAAAAAAGAATTTGGGTATTAGTAAAATTAGTTGGGTTTTTTTTTTTAAATGCCCAGCTTTTTTGTACATTGAAATAACACTTCAAACTACTTTTAATAAGTTCTATCATTATTACATAACTCAATTATATTCTTAAATTCCAAAAATAAAGTTTGAAGGTTATAAATTTAACTCCTTCTAAAGCAATTAACTTTACTTACATGGCCATTTGCAACATCTAATAAATCTTTGACCCTACAGCCACTCGTGGTTCCCACCTCATTGCAGATAGCATCCTCTACAATTAGGTAGTTAGCTTTGTAGGATGTCAGTATTTTATAAATATCCTCAGCAGATCGCTTTGAATAGATTTGATAAATCTGGAAGAATAGAATTAAAACTGATTTTAAAAGACATGGAAGGCTTTTGTTAAACAAAACTATACAGCCTTACTGAAATAGAATTCATCTACTACTATTCACTGTTTTTTCGTGCATTTACAGAGCTGTGCATTTGCCAATACAATTAATTGTGGATCACTGCATTACCCCAAGAAAGAAATCCTGCATCCTTTAGTTGTTATCCCCTAACCCTTCTCTCCTCCTCTTCAGTCCTAGGCAACCAAAAATCTACTTTTCTCTACAAATATACCAATTCTGAATATTTCATATAAATGGAATCACACCGTATGTGGTCTCTGGCTTCTTTCACTTAGTATGCTTTCAAAATTCATCCATGTTGTAGCATGTATCAGTACTTCATTCCCTTTTAGTGCTGAGTAATATTCTATTGTATGTATATACCACACCTGTTTATCCATTCACAGCTGATAAAACATTTGACTCCACTTATTAGCCATTATGAATAATACTTCTGAATATTCATTACAAGTTTTTGTACAGATATATTTTCAATTCTCTTTATATATCTAGAAGTAGAATTACTAGATTATATGGTAACTCTGCAGTTAACTAATTTTTTTTTGTTAATTGTTTTATTCTGAGAAAAGGTCTCAATATGTAATCTAGGAAGGTCTGGGACTCTCAAAATATCCCAGGATAGCCCTGAACTCACTAATCCGCCTGCCTCAGCCTCCTAAGAGCTGGAATTACGGGTGTGTACTATCATGCCCAGTTGTGGTTAACTAGTTTCCAAAGAAGCTGTGCTATTTTATATTCCCACCAGCAATACCGGGTTTGGTTCAGAGTTCTCCACATCCTTGTAAACTCTTGTTACTTGTCCTTTTGATTTTAGATATCCTACTAGGTTTGAAGTGGTATCTGATGGTGGATCTAGCATATTCCCTGATGGCTACTGAAACTGAACATCTTTTCATATGCTAACTGGTCATTTGCATTTCTTCTCTAGGTAAGAAGTTCTCTGTCCATTTTTTAATTGAATTATCTATCTTTTTATTATTGAGTTGCAACAGTTCCTCTCATTTTTTTATTACCATATATCAGTATTTTGTACTCATTTTGTACATCAGATAAAGCCAATGAAACTAACTTTGTTAGTATTGCAAACTGTCTTGAAAATCTAGACTGAATAAAATCCTGACCTTTTCGCAGAATACTCAGTAGCTGCCTACTATATGTCATGGTTGGTATAATATCCACTGACATTGCACTATACAAAATGTTAATAAATTAAAAGGAAGTTGCTCACTTATTTTACTGTGCTAAGTTTAAGTGAGAATGGTTCTATCCTATCCAGCCTATACCTACTAATAGTTGTTTATAAGTATCAATATTTAATTTTAAATTTTAGGAAACTATAACAGACTCTGAAGCATTAAAAATCATTTCTGGGCAATGGCAATAACATTACAGAGAGCCTAGAGCAGTTTTCCAACTTTGGCACTACGGACATTTTGGGACAAAACAGTTTTTTGCTGGGACAGGAGGGAGGCTATTCTGTACACTGTAGGATGTTTGGCAGCAAACCTGGTCTCTACTCACTAGGTGCTTGAAGAACCTCACCTTCAGTTGTGACAACCAAAAATGTCTCCAGACATTGCCAAGTGTCCCCTGGGTACAAAACTGTCCCAGGTTGACAACTGGCCTAGGGTTTTATACAAAGATTAGTCTTAATTATAAATTAGAGATAGTGTCTAATTTAAATGATATGGTCTTATTTATGGAGTTCTAGTTGGATTTTGATTAAATAAATTTATTCAGTATCTGCTATGTATTAGGTACCATAAAGAAAAACAAAGCTTTGAAACAAAGTATGATTATTGTTCTCAGAGTCAAGTTCCATAAAACTCAAAAATGTTTAATTAGAACTCCTTAACTAGATTTCTGAGCTAACTGTAAATGACTCTGAAATTTTGTGCTAGGAAAAAGTCCTATCAAAAAAAAAGAAACCAAAAAACCAAAAACAGACAAGCGGGGTATGGTGGTGCACATCTGTATAATCCTAGCACCTGAGAGGCTAAGGGAGGTTTGAGATGATCCTGGGCTACTTAGGGACACTGTCTCAAAAAAAAAGTCATGAAGCTGATTGGTTTAAATCTATAAGACTGAAGCTCAGCGCTGCCTCCATGCTACCTAAATACCTCTACCTTGCTGAAATGCAGCAGACACTAATCACCTATGGCCACCACCTCTCAGACACATCACTCTCAGGTAGATCTCCCCACTTCTGGTCTCTCCCCTGCCTGCTTCAATCTCCTTCCTACTGTGACCATAGTTAACTCCCTATGGTAATGGGGCTTGAACTCAAGGCCTACACCTTGAGCCACTTTGCCAGCCCTTTTTTGTGATGGGTTTTTTCAAAATAGGGTCTTGCAGAACTATTTTCTGGGGCTGGCTTCGAACTGTGATCCTCTTGATCTCTGCCTCCTGAGTAGCTATGATTATGGGTGTAAGCCACGAGTGCTTGGTACTTTACAACCATTTTTAGATCCTCCAGAGGGGTACACCACTCCTGGAGGTACTGCAATATCAGGTCGATGTGTAGAGTGGATAGAGCAATTTCCTATTCCATCTTCCTGCTCCAAAAATCCATTTAAGATATTATCCTTGTACAGAGGATGTATCAGATATTAAACTGATAAGAACAGACACTACACTTGATCTTGGCCAAGAAGTGATTATTGGTCTTTGATGTTTCCCAACTGCCTCAAGGATAAGCCTAACTTCCTTAGCATGGCATTGCAAGTCCTCAGAATTTGACCTCATTTATTTTCTAGTTTCATGGCCATACAAATTTCTTGACTTATGTTACTTTTTCAACCTGGAGTCATATATATTCCTTTCTGGAACAAGTTTTTAAACAACCTTCAAGGCCCATAAAGGGGAATGTCCTTTATGATGACATATTACACTTCTATGGGCACACGTATGCATGCACAATTACAATTGAATAACAACCTAATAATATACAATAGCCTAATTTCATTGTTTCATTTTTTTAATTTTTTGGTGGGGCTGGGGTTTGAACTCAGGACTTCATGCTGCTTGAGCCACACCTTCAGTCCATTTTACTCTGATTATTTGGAGATTGGGGTCTCATGAACTATTTGTCTGGGCTGGCCTCAAACCTCGATCCTCCTGATCTCAGCCTCCCCAGTAACTAGGATTGCAGGCATGAGCTATCAGTACCTGTGAGCTACCAGCACCTGACTTGATAGCCTATGTTTAAATTGAAGTGTTTCAGGCATAATAAATTATCTCAGTTAATTCTCACAAATAGGAGAGTCTGTTCTATTATTCTTTTATGTCTAGATTCAGTAACTTACTCAAGGTCACAAAGCTGCTTATGTGTGGCAGAAGTAGCATTCCAGCCCAGATACTCTTAATCCCAGAGTGTGCAATTTTTTTTTTTCTTTTAGTGCTGGGAACTAAACTCAAGGGCTCATGCATACTGGGCAAGATTTCTAGCACTGAGCTACACCTCCAGCCCCACTTTATGTTTCTGAAGGCTCTCACTATGTTGTCCAGGCTGGTCGCAAATTCCTGAGCTCAAGTAATCCTTTTGTTTTGGCCTCTCAAGTACTGGGATTACAGTGTGTGCCACCATTCCCAGCTCCAAAGTCAGCATTCTTAACCTTTACATTATTATATTTCTTCCTTAGCATAGAGTATACTTAAAAACAGGCTGTGCCCAAGCCTGTAATACTCAGGAGGATCTCAGATAGAGGCAAAAAGTTCACCAGACATCATCTTAACCAATAGCTAGATATGGTAGCATAGCATGTACCTGTCATCCCCAGCTACGTGGGGAAGCATAAACAGGATGATCATAGTCCTACCCTGCCCAGGAATAAAGAGAGACCTTATCTCAAAATTAAAGCAAAAAGGGCTGTGGGTGTGGATGCAGGCTTGCTAGGTAGAGGAACATCTACCTAATAAGCACAAAGATAACACCCCCACCAAAAAAAAAAATTTTCTCAAACTGAAAGCAGAATACTGGGAATCAAGGTTCAGTTGATAATCAACTTCAGATATAAAGTCATCATTTAAATCCACACCAAACATTCAAAATTATTTATCCTCTAAACTATACTTAATTAGAAGCCATTCTAATGTTTTACTTATTATAATAGCCCTCACACACAAAAAAGTTGCAGATACTTTTTTGTTTTGTTTTGCCTTATGAATGCTGGGCAATTACTATACCACTGAGCTAGATTCTCTGCCCTTTAAAATGAATTAAGGTGTCACTAAATTGCCCATCTGGTTCAAAATTGTGATCCTCCTACTTCTGCTTCCCAAGAAGCTGGGATTACATGTCTTCTACTATGCCTGGTTAAATCAGTTTCTTTTTTTTATAATCAGTAACAGACTATCAGTTTGGAAAGACAAAGTGTATCAAAGTCATGAAACAACAGCCTTCTTCAATGATTTGAGAACAATATGTCAAAGGAAAGTTTCCCCTTCTGAAATATTATTTATCAGTTCCCTTGATAACTATGGAAAATTGAATGTTTTTCCCAGAAACATATCAATACTGTTCATAAAACAAATAACTTAGTATTTAATTTTGGATTTCCTTGGCTATATGTATTATACAACTTTTAAAAACTAAAGTGAATGTGCTCTTCTAAAATTGTTTGGATTTTCCCAGCTAGGAACATACACATCAATACAGAACTATCCTAAATTACAGAGTGTTGTAAAAGAGATACAAAGGTAGAATTTAAAACGTTTTACATTTTCATTTCTCTTGAGAAGATCATCATCGTTGTAAAGAGGCAAGCTGGTCACCATCCAGCCAGTGCACAATTTAATCGCACCCATTAACTGTGGACTCCCTGCAAACACAGCTGCAACTGGAGCTTGCCTTCTGCAATGAATCACAAGATTGACATGATGAAAAATCAAGTATACTACTAACATCACTGATTTATATCAACTCTGAAATACCAGGCAACTTGCAATGTATAATACACTTAAGTTTCAATGTCAGTCTCCAGTTAATTTCATTTACAAAGCACTAGTTTGGGCTGGGGAAGAGGTCCTGAGTTCATTTCCCAGTGCCCTCCCCCCCCATAAAAGCCCTCGTTTGTGTGAAGATACAGATTTTTTCTTTTAAAGAGGGGCACAAAAATTCCCACTGAAAAACAGGTACCTTAATAATGAAGGACAGAGGTCATATTAACAGAAGAACATTAGTGTGGGGGTGGGGGATAGTAAAAGAAGAGAGTAAAGTAAGGTGAATATGCTTGATGTACTTTCTATACAAGTATGAACACGGACCATCAAAATCTGCTAAAGTCAACTTAAGAAGGGGTAGGTGGTAGACTAATGGAGGGAATGTATCAACTAAGGGTATAAAACGTGTATATACGAAAATGTCACAATGAAACCCCCTATAACTATCATGTACCAACAAAAAATGTTTCTGAAAAAAAATGAATGACAGGAAGGGAAAACAGGCCCTATCCATGGGAGGGTACCAATGGGAGGGGGGAGGATATAAGAAAAGGGTGAAGGAGGACAAATATGGTGAATATATTTTGTATTCATGTATGAAAATAGAACAATAAAAACTGGTAAAACTGCTCTATGGCGGGGGGAATGAGGAAGAAAGATGGAGGGGGGGGTGAATCTAATTAAGATATATTGTAAGCACATATGCAAATGTTACAATGTATCCCCCCTGAACAACTATAAAATGCTGGTAAAAAATTTTTTTAAAAACAGCAAGCACAAATATAAACACATGTGAAATAGTAAAAATACCATTAAAAATAATGCAGGGTAAATGAACAGGGTCAAGAATATAATATTTTAGATAGAGTGGCTAGTTCAGTGGTAATACTGCAATTTCTCAAATTCATCTTTCCAAATATTAACCAACACAGCCCAACTCCTCCCAGATCCATCTAACCTTCCTGATCCTTCCTTGTTTTTACATGTGACTATCTTCACAGAACACATGTAGACTATCTCTATTCTGAATCATGAAAACGATGTTCCACACAGATGCTACTTTAGAAGGTAGGAAACCTATAAACATGTCCCAAAGGGCTGTTCTAATGCTTCCCTCCCCTTTCTCTTTCCCATCCTTCTTTCCTTTCTTCCTTCCTTCCTTCCTTCATTTATTTACTCCATATAATCACTATTCAAAACCCACCTACCACATGCTAGAGGTAGTGACATGCTTTGGAAATAAAGAGACAGCACCTGGCCACTGTCTTCAGGGAGCAATTCAGTAGCAAGGAAACAGACATAAGACAGAATAATTACACCTCAGCTAAATGTCCAATTGCCCAACATCCAATTGTTCGGGCCTCTGCTATGCTTTTGAAAATATTGTGGTAAATCACACACATAGATTTAACTCTTTTGTTAATGACAACAACAAGGCTATATCGTCAGAACTTCCCGATAGCAAATACAATTCACAAAAAAGCAGCAGTCGCAAAGTTAAGGATGATCTAACAGAAATAATTTTTGTGCATACGAGGAGTGTCTTTATAGTAACAAGACATCATAATATTCTCAATTCTATATACTGATTCTATAAGACAATTCCTCATTCTAGAAATACTTTTGGCTTTTGCCCCTTATTTTCTAGGCCTCTTTTGAGTCTTTCTTTCCTTTTTCAGGTTTTTGTTTCTTCATTTATGTCTTTAATCATTTTTAGTGTAGTCATTTCAGAGTCTCTACCTACAAAAATGGTTGCAGAATTCTTTTCCCTCTAACCATGGTCATGTGATTTGTTTTGGTCAAAAGGACAACAGCAAATATAATATAGGCAGAGATTTAAAATATGCTTGGCAATGAAATTTGCCATCTCTTGTTGCTCTTGGGAATGCCACAACTATTTTATAAACAAACATACACATGGGTATGCACATGGCCAAGTCAATTTGATTCCCTCAGCTGACCCAGCCAATTCCAGACATGTGAAAGAGGTCATGCCAGACTACCCAGGCCCACCTGAGCTGTCCCAGACCAGAGGAATCCTTCTCAAAACTATGAAAAATAACAAATGTTCATTGCTTGTAAGTCACTGAAGTTTTATGGCAGTCTGTTACACAGCAAAAAAGAACTAACATAAATTTCATTGTGGGAAATTGCTAGAAGTCTAATTCCACTGTTTATCATGAATAATAGCTGGTATCTGCTTATGCTGAATTGTTTCCTCATTGTGTTTTATAATAATGGAGGTTCAGCTTCATGAAACTTTATTTATGGAATTCTGTGTAGCCTGAACTGAGATGTATCAGACAAACCCAGGACTGTTTTATGTAAATTTCTTGATTTAGGGTTTCTGGATTAGATAAGTATATTTTTAAACTACAAACCAATGTGAATTCAGAGTCACTGCTATGAATTCAGAACGGAATTTTTTTTTTTTTTGATCAAGAGTTGAAGTCCAGAAAGACATGGCTACTTAGAATATTTTGTTATTAGATCCTTTCACTGACATTGTAGCCTTTTGAGAGTCCCTGAGTTATAAGTATGTGTATGCTGGAGAGGTCTCAATTCTAACTCTGCTTCCAGAGGCCAAAGATCACATCCCCATATCCTTATTTGATATTAAAATCTAAACCCCTTGGTTACCAAGACCAGCAAGCTACTGCACATGAACCACCGCCCATGGCAAAGAAGCATCCTCTTGACTATCTAAATAAAATATATTATTCCTATTTATTCCACATTGCTGATGTTTGGTGGTAGGAATTTCCAATCTTACAATGTTGTACTTTCAACATGAAAGTAAGTTTAACTATAAAATTAATATTATAAAGCCTTAAAAATTAACTATCTTTAAAAACACAAGCTAAAATTCCTGAGTTTTCAGAGAATACTGAAAAATATTAATTAACCTACTATTTCCCCTGAATCCATTAGATAGCATGCAATGATTACTTAGTAGCTTAACAACAATAGTCATGGGAAATTAAAGCCTTACTTTATCCAGGTCATAAGTTCCACTGTGTCTGGGTCATAGAACTCCTGTAGTTCCGATAATTCTGTCATTAATCTGGGAAAAAACTAAAATGCAAAACAAAATCCCCAAAAGGTGCATATAAGTAACTAGAAGGTTTAAAATTGTTCCAGAGTATTCCAAAAGACTAATGAAGGCAAATGATACTACAGCACTGTTCTCATGAACAAAAATTCATGACATCTCATTCTTCTCAACCCAAATAATCTATAGTATAGTTAATTCAATGCCTAGACTCAGTAAATAATTTTATAACTACCAAACAACCATCAGTAATATCTTTCATGTATACATATTAAATAAATGAATTTCAGCTCAAATAATTTGCAGGTTTATTGGCAATTAACTTTAATGTTACATTATGAGAAGTCAAATAATTTATATCATTTTATAGATATTAAAATTTTGGGAGTCACCATTTTTTTTTGTTTGTGGTGGTGGTACTGGGGTTTAAACTCGGGCCTCATGCTTGCTAGACAAGTGATCTACCAGAGTGGTGGGCTGCCACTCTGCCATCCTAACCAAAATATTTTTAAATATTAAAATCTCTTTACTATTGATATACATTGAATCAACAATGGCATTAGACTACAGAAAACTGCATCAGATAATATTCTAAAAATGTTTTGGTTTTCCTATTATAATCCTAATAGAAAAGAAAATGAAGCACTGATAAAAAAAAATCATACTATGTTAGAATAGTGTTATGAGTTTCCTACCCAAACATATAAATTTATCACTACCTTGTAGCTAAAGTACATTTTAGTGATATAAAAATCTGGTTTTCTTACCTCTTTCCATAAACTCAGACCAATTATGGTGGGCACAGCCATGCTCAGAAAAATTGCCTAAAACATTAAAACAAAAAAGGTTGTGGGTATTTTAGAGTATACATTAGAGGTAATGGCACTGATTCTATGACCAATTGAATTACCTTTAAAGCCATAAAAATTTCAATCTGAAACCTGGCACCAGGGGCTCATGCCTAGCTACTCCGGAGGCAATTACTTGGAGGCAGAGATCAGGAGGATCACAGTTCAAGGCAGGCTCAGACAAATAGTTCTTGAGACCCTAACTCGAAAATGCCCAACACAAAAAAGGGCTGGTGGAGTGACTCAAGTGGTAGAGTGCCTGACTATAGCAAGTGTGAGGGCCTTAGTTCAAACCCCAGTACCGCCAAAAAAAAATCAATCTGAGAAAGTAAAGTCTACATGGAATCTAACTCATAAAGCAAAATGAGTCAAGATTACTGTGTTTCAAACTGCAGGTAGAATGATATATACATATTTATATTTGTATATATAACTATACAAATAAAAGGCAGACCATTAAAAAAACAAGTGCTTAGCAGAATGTGATAGCTCATGCCTTTAATCCCAGCACTCAACAGGTTGAGGCAGGAAGATCAGCCTGGGCTACATAGCAAAACCTTGTCTTTAAAAAAAAAAATGTTAATGCTCATAGTAATACTTCCAATAGCAAATAGCATTTGAAAACTGCCAGAGACTTATGAAGAACTTACAAGGAATTTTGAATTCCTAAGTTAACAAGGTGGGCACAGTGGCTCAAGCATATAATCTTAGTTACGTGGGAAACAGGGATCAGGAGGATTGCAGTTTGAGGCAGTCCAGGCAGAAAGTTCACAAGACCCCATCTCAACCAATGGGTAGACACAGTGGCAGGCTCCTGTCATCCCAGCTACTCAGGGAAGCACAAATAGAAGGATCATGGTCCAGGTCAGCCCTGGTATAAAGCAATACCCTATTTGAAAAATAACCAAAAAACATGAATGTGTGTGAGAGACTGTCTGGGGGGTGTCAACGGGAAGGAGGAGAGGGAAAGGAAAGGACAGTGATGGGGTAAAGATGGAGGTATGCTACATATATACATATGAAGACAGGATAATGAAACCCACCAAACACTGTTTGAAAACTAGAAGTGGTGGGGGCAATGGGAATATAATGCAGAGGGTAAATTTGTTCAAGGTATACTGTATGGAATTATCACAATAAAATTCCCTCATATTATTAATATATGATATATTAATATATGATAATTATAAAAATAAATTAAAAAATAAGGACAAAGTAAAGGACTAAAGCAAAAAAAAAAAACACCAAAGAGAGAAAAGAAAAGGCTCAGATGGCTCAAGTGATAGAGCACCTACCTACATAGGAAGTGAGAGGACCCTGACTCCAACCCCCACCGCCACAAAAAAGTTGACATAGCTAATGTATATTTAATATACCTCCATGTTAAAATAAGAATGTATAAATTCTTCTGGGAATAAGACTGGCAGAATACAACAAGACTATTATTAAACACATTACACATCATCTTTCTGCCCACACCTGTTTTTCCTACTGATCTATGGCTCTTTTTTTTTCTTTTTGGGGGGCGGTACTGGGGCCTGACCTCAGGGCCTTTACCTTGAGCTACTCCACTGCCAGTCCTTTTTTGTGAAGGTTTTCAAAATACGGTCTTGTCATTCATTAAAGAGATTGAAAAATCTACCATTAAATTTATATGGAAACACAAGAGGCCACGAATAGCCAAGGCAATACTCAGTCAAAAGAACAATGCTGGAGGTATCACGATACCTGACTTCAAACTATATTACAAAGCAATAACAATAAAAACAGCATGGTACTGGCACAAAAACAGACATGAAGACCAGTGGAACAGAATACAGGACCCAGATATGAAGCCACACAACTATAACCAACTTGTCTTTGACAAAGGCGCTAAAAATACACGATGGAGAAAAAGCAACCTCTTCAACAAAAACTGCTGGGAAAACTGGTTAGCAGTCTGCAAAAGACTGAAACTAGATCCATGTATATCACCCTATACCAAGATTAACTCAAAATGGATCAAGGATCTTAATATCAGACCAGAAACTCTAAAGTTGATACAGGAAAGAGTAGGAAATACTCTGGAGTTAGTAGGTATAGGTAAGAACTTTCCCAACGGAACCCCAGCAGCACAGCAACTAAGAGATAGCATAGATAAATGGGACTTCATAAAACTAAAAAGCTTCTGCTCATCAAAAGAAATGGTCTCTAAACTGAAGAGAACACCCACAGAGTGGGAGAAAATATTTGCCAGCTACACATCAGACAAAGGACTGATAACCAGAATATACAGGGAACTTAAAAAACTAAATTCTCCCAAAACTAATGAACCAATAAAGAAATGGGCAAGTGAACTAAACAGAACTTTCTCAAAAGAAGAAATTCAAATGGCTAAAAAACACATGAAAAAATGCTCACCATCTCTAGCAATAAAGGAAATGCAAATTAAAACCACACTAAGATTCTACCTCACCCCTGTTAGAATAGCCATCATTAGCAACACCACCACCAACAGGTTTTGGTGAGGATGTGGGGAAAAAGGAACCCTCTTACACTGTTGGTGGGAATGTAAACTAGTACAACCACTCTGGAAAAAAATTTGGAGGCTACTTAAAAAGCTAAACATTGATCTACCATTTGATCCAGCAATACCACTCTTGGGGATATACCCAAAAGACTGTGACACAGGTTACTCCAGAGGCACCTGCACACCCATGTTTACTGCAGCACTATTCACAATAGCCAAGTTATGCAAACAGCCAAGATGCCCCACTACTGAAGAATGGATCAAGAAAATGTGGTATCTATACACAATGGAATTTTATGCAGCCATGAAGAAGAACGAAATGTTATCATTCGCTGGTAAATGGATGGAATTGGAGAACATCATTCTGAGTGAGGTTAGCCTGGCCCAAAAGACCAAAAATCCTATGTTCTCCCTCATATGTGGACATTAGATCAAGGGCAAACACAACAATGGGATTGGACTTTGAGCACATGATAAAAGCGAGAGCACACAAGGGAGGGGTGAGGATAGGTAAGACACCTAAAAAATTAGCTAGCATTTTTTGCCCTCAACACAGAGAAACTAAAGCAGATACCTTAAAAGCAACTGAGGCCAATAGGAGAAGGGGACCAGGAACTAGAGAAAAGGTGAGATCAAAAAGAATTAACCTAGAAGGTAACACACATGCACAGGAAATTAATGTGAGTCAACTCCCTGTATAGCTATCCTTATCTCAACTAGCAAAAACCCTTGTTCCTTCCTATTATTGTTTATACTCTCTCTTCAACAAAATTAGAGATAAGGGCAAAATAGTTTCTGCCGGGTATCGAGGGGATGGGGAGGAGAGGGAGGGGGCGGAGTGGGTGGTAAGGTAGGGGGTGGGGGCAGGGGGGAGAAATGATCCAAGCATTGTATTGCACATATGAATAATAAAACAATAAAAATTAAAAAAATAAAAAGATAGGGTCTTGTGAACTATTTGCCCAAGCTGGGTTTGAAACATGATCTTCCTGATCTCTGCCTCCTGAGTAGCTAGGATTACAGGCATGCGCCACTAGCACCTGGCTTTTCTTTTTTTAATGGTGTTAAAGATTAAACCTATAGTCCTCATGAATGCTAGTCAAGCACTGAACCACACTCCCATCCTTTTTTTCTCTTTGAGACAAGGTCTCGCTATGTAGCCCAGGCTGGCCTCAAACTTGTGATCTTACTGTTCAGCCTTCCAAGTGCTGGGATTACCAAGGCATCAGTCACCATGTCTGGCTTTAATAACAAGGTTTTATTTATCTCTATTGCAAGCACATAGGAGGCACAGTGTTAATACTCCATTTATGTGGCAAACATGCAGAGTTCTAAGTCAAATAAGACAGGTATTATAAAAGTTAAAGCTGGGAGTGGTGTTGCATGTCTGTGATCTCAGACTTCTTGGGACGCTAAAGCAGAAGAGTCACTTGAAGCCTACGCAAGTCAGTAAGACTCTGTCTCTTAAAAAACACAAAATAAAGACTACCATGAAACTACCTTAAAATTTTTTTAAATATATAAATAAATTTTATTCTTTTCAGATTGCTAGAATAGTTAGAAAAAAAAGGAAAAAATTAATTCCTATTGGCCTCTCATATTACAGTTCACTTGAATGTTTACCTTTTATTTTTTTATTTTTTGGTACCGGGACTTCAACTCAGGCCTTCACCTTGAGCCACTCCACCAGCCCTATTTCAAAATAGAATCTCACAAACTATTTGCCTGGCTGGCTTCAAATTGAGATCTTCCTGATTTCTACCTTACGAGTAGCTAAGATAACAGGTATGAGCCACCGGCGTTGGCTACCTTTTTTTAATTTTTAAGATATATAGATTGCAATGCTTTTAAACCAGAAATTATAAAGAAGTGCTTACCGCAGGATCTATTTTTCTATTTGTAGATCATTATATGACTTATTCAGGTTATTTCAATTGTACTCAATGTGGTTTCTATTTACTAGTATTTTATTTTATATTACTGGAAATAAACAAGAATTTAACAAAAATAACATTGGCTCACCAATAATACTGGATGTACAGTTCTTACTCGAAGCCACTTGAAAAGTGTCATCCAAAGATCAGGTGAACAGACACCAAATGCTGCTAACATGCATACATAAGGAGTCCAAATGTATTTCAAGCTGTAAAAATAACCCCAAGAATCACATATAAGACATCCTATGACTATCATTATCTCATTTTTTTCTGAATTCTTTTTAAACTACCTATGAAAATGCCAAAGGAAAATTATCAAGCTTATTTAGCTTCTAAAAGTCAGCAACAGATTGTCATTCAGTTCTTAAATAATCAGTAAGACATGTGGGTTACCAAATGAAGACAAAAAACATTTATATTGATGAGGGATAACAAAACTGTAGTCCCAGAGAGGACATAACTCTTAAAATTTTTTCAGAAAGCAATTTGGTAGGACCTATACAAATTTAAAATACCCTAATATAGTCTAGTAATTCAGACTTCAGACATGTTATCATAAATATATGATATATATATATACACAAGGGTTTTAACTGCAGCAGGTTGTTTTAATAGGAAAAAAAATACAGAAAGAACCTGGATGTTCTTCAATAGATACTAATGAAAAACTTCATATACAGTGTTTCCTAGGTTTATGCTTTTTGTTTTGTTCAATGTAGATAGGAAAAATGGCTAGAAAGAGGGATTTTCACTTTTTACATTGCATACTTCTAGGCTATTTGTTATAATCAGTAACATATTATTTTTGAGATTTTCTTTTCTTCTGTTGGTACTGGGGTTTGAACTCAGGCCCTAAAACTTGCTAGGCAGGCGCTCTTCCACTTGAACCACATCACCAGCCCTGTTTTGTGTTGGGTCTTTTTGAGATAGGGTCTCAAGAACTATTTGCCCAGGATGGCTTTGAATCTCGATCCTCCTGATCTCTGCCTTCTGTGCAGCTAAGATTACAGGTATGAGTCTGTTTGTTTGTTTTTCTAAAAAAAAAACAAAACAAGGATATATAAACTGGAGCTCATATTTTGTTTTCTTTTTTGAGGCAGGGTCTTGCTCTGTAGCCCAGGTAAACCTTAAACTCATCACTTTCCTGCCTCTGTCTCCTGAGTACATGTATTACAGGTTTGTACCACCACACTTGGCTCTCTTAAAGTTTAAAAATCCATGCATTCAAAAAAATGCATTTGCATAAATAAAAGAAAGTATATGCATTATGTTGTAGGTTGTCACGGAGACAAAAGGAGCCCATCTCCACAGCAAATGGCAAAAGCTGAAGACAGAAGAGGAGAGCTGGAGATAACACTTGTAATTAATACTAGGAAGCACAACCAGATCTTTCCATGATACAGTCCCTGGTGTCAAACTCAGATGAGACTAGAAGAATGTGAGACCAGAGAGTACAAATGTCAACTATTATGGCCTTATAAAATAGCAGAGCTATGGAATAAAAAAGTCAAAATTCATTCATTGAACAAACATTGATTAACCAAATGCACTGCAAGCTGACCAAAAGAGCCAGACAGGAAAGAAGAAAAACAAGTCCTTAACAGGCTCTTTATCAAGATGAAAAAAAAAACAAACACAGGGAAGCAATAAAAAATATTACGTAAAGCCTAGTATCACATAAAAGTGAAATAACTAATTTGAGAATGTAGTTAAAAAGTGAATCCTAAAGTCAAGCACAGTGGTGGTGCAAGCTTGTAATTTGCTATTTGAAAAGTGGAGATCAAGAGGATCATTGTTGGAGGCCAGCCCAAGCAAAAAGCAAGACACCCCCCCCAATCTCAGTAAATAAGCTGGGGGTTATAATCCCACTTACAAAGGAGGTATAGCTAGGAGGATCACAACCTGAGGCCTACTGCAAGACCATATCCAAAAAAATAACTAAAGCAAAAAGGGCTGAGGATGTAGCACTTGCCTAGCAAGCATGGGACCCTAAGTTCAAACCCCAGTGCCATCAGAAAATAAAAGTGAATCCTAACTCATGCTTTGAGAGAAACAGTGGACATACACAGAATAGATGCTGCCGAGACAGAAGAGTTGTGTTGTGTAATCATACTCTATGAAGTTCACAATGTAACAACGCATTTCTTAGAACATATCCCTATGTCAAATATCAAATGAGTGTAGATAGATACCCATTTGCCTTAACAAATTTTAGAAGGTACACAGAACAGTAAAATTGAATCAAATAAGTTAAATGTAAATATTTTGTCTTACTGAACATTAAATGGGATCCCCCTATCTTAAAAGCAGTAATAGAAATTAGGTCAGGGAAAGAATGAAAGAAAAAACACCCCCAATCCTCAATAATACCTACTGCGTACTCACTGCACTTCAACCATACTGAGCTCTGCAGAATGCTCCTTCAAAACTTGGCAAACGATATTCCTTCCACCTGCAATACTCTTGTTCTGGTCACTAAGTTTACTTTTACTCACTTTTCAAGTCTCCCTCAAACAATCTTTTTACTTTCTAACCTCTTCAACTCAAATTTTGTTTTGAAATGTTCTCACAGCACCACTTATCTCTCTCTCAATTATCAAGCTATAATTTTTATTTTTGTGTAATTAATATGTCACCTCCATTAGCCCATAAGTTAGATAACATTAGAGACTGTGTGTCCACTTTTGTTTACTGTGCATCCAGCAGTGTGTACATCTTGGAAGACATTTAAGAGGTTTTTTTTTTTTTTTTTTTTTTTCTCCAGTACTGGGGTTTGAACTCAGGGCCTATACTCCACCAGCCCTACTTTTGTGATGGGTTTTTTGAAATAGGGTCTTGCAAATTAACTGCCTGAGGCTGGCTTCCAACGGTGATCCTCCTGAGGTCTGCCTCCTCAGTAGTTAGGATTATAGGCATAAGCCACGGTGCCCAGCCAAGAGGTTTTTTTTTTTGCTGTTTTTTTAACAAATTGAATGAGTAATTAAATGTTAATTCAATGGTACTGTAAGGATCTTTGTAAACTCCAGTTATATTAAGAAAGTTTATAGATTTTAAGTTTTTCTAAAGTTTTACAAATGTACTCTTGAATGTAACCCACTTATCACTATTAGAATAGACAATCTGCAAAAACAAACAGATCAAGTACACTTACCCTTCTATAACCATTGCAAGAGAACCGAGTAAGATAGTGTGAATTACATGATAAATTATTTCTGGCTTTTCTCCAATTTGTCCATCTTCAAGAGTAACACTTTCTTTCAGGGACTTACCACTACAGAAAGAAAATGTGTTTTTTAAAACCTTGAAAATGTATATTTGAAAAATCAAAGATACATTGTTTATCATCTTTGAAGGCCATACAAAAAATGTAAGTTGTCCTTAAAATTTCAAAGTATGTTCTGCTAGTCAAATGTCTAGCACATATCTCCAAGTCTTTACTAATGGTTTTCAGAGCCTGCAGACAACTGACTCTCTGAAGATTAAATGTGAATTTTGAAAATAACAATAAATTCTGACAGGTTCCTTTTCCAAGATCAATTATGCCTAAACAAATGATTGCTAAATCAATGCAGTTAAACTGCAGTATGAGTAAGAACTCAAAATTAGTAAATTATGAATAATCTCCTTTCAAGCATGATAAACATATTAAAAAACAGCCAAACTTTGTAGCAATTTAAAATCACTTATACTAGTAACTTCATTTCAATGAAATATAAGATATTATTCTTACATTAAGTAAAACCTGTTGAAATTGTTCTAAAGGGGGAAAGTGTGAGGGAGAATGATGGAGGAGGTGAAAAAATTTTGAGTAAATTAGTAAATGAGTCTATAAAAGTTTAATGTATTATATATTCCTGTATCAAATCTGGACAGTATATATTTAGGTGTACAAAGTTTAGTATGAGTTTTTCTGATCAATCATAACGATCAATGAAGACATAATTGAGTTAGAAACTCTATAACACAATTCTGGAAGGAGGTGACAGGGTACACACCTGCAGTCTCAGTTTCTTGGGAGGCTGAGGAAGGAAGATTGCTCGAGCCCATGAATTCAAGGCCAATCTGGGCAACACAACAAAACTCCATCTCTCTCTTTGTTATTTATTTTTTTCTACCCTTCCTCTCTCCCTCTTTCCTTCCCTTCCTTCCTCCTCCTCTCATCTCTCCTTCCTTCCTTCCTTCCCTCCCTCCCTCCCTATCTATCTTCCTCTCCCTCTCCTCCCTATCCTCTCCCTCTCCTTCCCATTCTCTCCCTCTCTTTTTTCTCTTTCTCTGAAGTACTGGAGATTGAACCCAGGGCCTCATGTATGCTAGGCAAATACTCTATCACTGGGCTATATTGCCAGCCCAGAACCTCATCTATTAAAAAGCAAACAAACAAAAAAAGAAAAAAATAGGACTAAGTAGGGTATAGCTCAGTAGCAGAGCATGTACTTAACATGCACAAGGCCCTGAGTTTGATCCAGACCAAAACAAACAAGCAAAATACACACACACACACACACACAAAAGATCTTAAAAATAAGTATTATGTATTTTTACAATATGCTAATAATGTGATTGATTTTCACAGGTACTTACTTAATCCTCCTAAAAATAACTTGTATCACAGAAAGAAGACAAATAATTAACACTAAAATATAGAATGGTAATAGAGAAGATCGTGTCAATCGTAAAAAAAAATCTTCAGATGGTGCCTGAAGGGATTCTTGACAGAGAAGCCAATTCATTGTAAAATTCCTATAAAAATAAAAAAAGCATGATATTAAAATCACAGGTGTAAACTAATGGCCATAAAATGTGTTTTTTGTTTTCTGGCAGTACTGGGGTCTAATCTCAGGGCCCACGTTTCCTAGGCAGGTGCTCTACAACTTGAGCCACACCTCTAAACCTTTTTTGCTTTAGTTATTTTGGGATAGGGTCTCCTGTTTTCACTTTGTTTTTTGCCCAAGGCCATCCTTAGGCCATAGTTCTAACTGAGGCCTCCAGTAATGGGGATACCAAGTGGGTGCACCACCATCAGAGCTTCTGTATTGAGATGGTATCTCACTAGTTTTTGCCCAGACTATCTTGCACCATGATCCTCCTGATCTCCACTTTCCAAGTAACTGGGATTATAGGTGAAAACCACTGCAAAAATATTTTTTCTTAAATTTCAGTAAAAACTGACAGAAAGCATGTTTCCTAAGTCCATTCATTTATACTAGTATGGCTTCATCCTTCGTAAGTGGAGATAACAGTAACTCACAACAAAGCACATGCTTTCATCAAAACTGCTCCAATAAATGTAAAACTGCATTTTATCACCAAGTGTTACAGTTTTGGACATGAAGTGTCTCCCAAAACAGCTAATGGATAAAAAGGCTTAGTTCCTGATGTTCAGAGGTGGGGCTTTTGGGAAATGATTGGATCATGAGACTTATGACTTCAATGGATTAATCCATGATGGATTCATAATTTGATGGTATTGGGAGGTGGCTGAAAATTTAGAAGGTGGGGCCTAGTTGAAAAAAGGCTCACTGGAGGTGTGCCTTTACAGTTAAATGCTCCATCCCTGAGCTATACCCCTGCTGGAGGTGTACCTTTGAAGGACTAATCTCTACCTCTCTCTTTCCTGGCAACCAAGAAGTGAGCAGCCTCTTCTACCACATGTTCCTGCCATGGTGTTCTGCTTTACCATGGCCCAGAAACAACAGAGATAAGTAATTATGGGTTGAACTGTCAGAACCTGTGAAACAAAATGAATTCTTCCTCCCTTACATTGTTCTCTGAAGTATTTGTCACAAAGAAAAATGACTAACACACCAAGTAATGTAATCACCTCTAAAGTCCAATACAGTTTTAGGGAGTTTATATATATATATACATATATATATATATATATATATACGTATATATATATAATTTATTTATTCATTATTGAAGTGCTAAGAACCAAACCCAAGGCCACATATCAGGCAAATATTTTCTACCATTGAGCCACATTCACAGTCTTTGATTTCTATTTTTAGCTGGAAGACAACAAAAAATTCAGCTGACCTACCTCTATATCTGCACTGTCCAGTATGGTAGCTACTAACTATTTGTGGTTATTGAATATTTGAAACTGAGAGCTACTTTAAGTACAAAATATACTTAGGATTTTAAAGAAAAAAAAAAGAAATGAGAAAAAAGCAGAACATCTCAATTTCTACAGGTTTACACATTAAAATTAATTTCACTTGTTTCTTTTTCCTTAAATAGTATTTATTTATTTATTTTTTCTAGGGGCTCTATCTCTAGAGAAAAATAAAATAAAACCAATCCTTTGGGCTTCTAGAGGAGAAAGAGAATAAATTGGTTTCTGAGTAATTTATTTGATAAATATTTATTTAGTGCTTACTGTCTTACTGTGTGTCAGACACTAAACATTGGGCTTGCATTTTAGAAGGGAAGGGAGAGATCATTTATTTCTTGAATCTTCTTTTTTTTTTTGGTGGTATTTTGGTTTGAACTCAGTACTTACTAGGCACTCTACCACTTGAGCCATTCCTCAGCCTGAGCCATACACACTTTTTTTTTAAATTTTTTTTATTGTTTCTGTTTTTTTTTTTTTTTATAGTGCTAGGGATTAAATCTAGAGCTTCAAGCATGCTAAACATGGGGGGGTAATATATTTTTGCAGGGCAGTAATGGGGTTTTGAACTCAGGGCTTTGTGTTTTCTAGATAGTCAAACTATCACCTGAACCATGCACCTATGCCCCTACACATATTTTTTTTTTTCCTGCAGTGCTGGGGATAGACTCGAGGGTCTTATATGCACTAAGAAAGTACTGTATCAACTGAGGAATATGCTTAGCCCAAGAATAAATATTAATGTCATATTTCTTCAGTACAATACCCCAAATTATTTTCTAAGTGATATGTAATTAGATGTATACACCCTCCATCAAATGTTTTTACTCTTTATTTTCTAAATGGTATAGATTTAGGTAAAATTACATAATCTAAAACTTACTTAGTCATATTTAGTCCAAATTTTACTTCAAGGAATTTCAGCATGTGCCCATTTTCTTTGTGTGGGACAAACATCTAGAAGAGAAAAATGTAGGCGTGTTGGCCAAGTTGTAAGGTATCAGTCTCACAGAAGAGAAAAATACTAAATATTAGCCATGCTTATAGTCATATGCTTTTTTCCAATTACTAGTGATAGAAAGCATAGCAAGACTAAAAGATAATGAATTAAACAATACTCTGAGCATATACTATGGAGCAAGGAGATTTACTGACATAAACCAACCACATTACTGTATGCTTATGCATAAAACTGTAATGGGATAGTAAGATTTCATCTTATTCCACCTGGTTCAAGTAATAACTACTCTTCTGAACACTTTTTATTTGTCTCAATTTATTCCATAAATAAAGAAAATGGATAATGATGTATTTTTTCTATAAGTATACAGAGAATGAGAGTACTATTTTCTCACCCAATATGCTAATTATAATCATTGTTCAACTCACAATTATACTATATAAACTCTATTACTTTACTATCTTATTGGCCTCATTAGAATTTCACCTAATACGTTAATTATTTAATTTGCTCTATCACATGAATCTGAGTTACTCACCTTCATTAAAACATTCAATGTCACTGTCAGAGTACACACTAAATAAAAATTAATTACTTTAATTATTTTAGCTACAAAAGTTCCTTTCTTCACATTCAGCTGTGGGGAAAATCATACGAACAAAGTGAGGTATTAAATATTAACAATTTAAAAATAAGTAACAAGAATGATTTTAAAAAAGCAGTGCTAATTACCTGAAGGCACTTAGTGAGCATTAAGGCTGCTACTAAACTTAATAAAGGAGAAACCAGTAAAGCTGGATTCTCAAACTGCAGTATATATCCCAGAAAGAGGGAAAACACATAGATTTTATATACTTCATGAACCTGTTGGGATGAAAAAAATGAATTTTATTGCATATCTCTTCATTAGTTTTATTTAGGGTCTTACTATAATTATACAGTAAGTTCTTTACTATAGTTTAGTGTTAAGAAATAGTCAATCTATCTAACACGAATGACCATAGAAAAAAATTTAAAGAGTGTTGGGCTGGAGGTATGGCTCAAGTGCTAGAGTGCCTGTCTAGCAAGCACAAGACCCTGAGTTCAAACCTGCATACTGACCAATCCCCCCCACCCCTTGCAAAAAAAACCCCCAAAACATAGCAAAATCCATGAGTTAAAATCAACTGGAAGAACCGTCTGTAATGCCACTCCTTCTTAATTTCACTTGGCTTTCCCTGTTATTTAAAGTCATCTATGCAATCTCAAATTATATAAATCAAAACCATAACCTTTAACAGCAATTCTCAAAACATACCTAGTAAAAAATACACTACTATGAAAAATCACCAGAGAAAAAGTATTTCTTTTAATCCACTTACTTGTGAAATTAATTAATTTTAAAAAGGGAAAAACTAAGATAAAACAGCATTAGTTGGAGGAAAAAACCAAAAGAAAAAAAAAGTTAAAAATGTAAAAAACAAATGTCACAAAGAAACAGTAAGAAGCCAGAGCCACTTAAAAGTCAGGATAGTAGTTACCCTTAGAGGTGAGGTAGGGACTAAAGGAGTGACTGAGAAAGAACATGATGGCTGGGCGCCTGTGGCTCACACCTGTAATTCTAGCCACTCAGGAGGCAGAGATCAGGAGGATCGAGGTTTGAAGCCAGCCCTGGCAAATAGTTCTGCAAGACCCTATTTTAAAAAAACCCATCACAAAAATGGGCTGGTGGAATGGCTCAAGCTGTAGGCTCTGAGTTCAAACCCCAGAACTGCATTTGAAGAAAACAAAACAAAACATAATGGAGTCTCTTGGGTGCCGGTAATGCTCTTTTCTTGACTGAGTGCTGGTTCTCAGCTCTAAACATACCCTTCTACCTTTTATCTTGTAATGCTGGAGCTAGGACCCTGCAGTCTACATTTGTACTTTTCCAGCTGATTCTCTATTAATCTCTGCCAATAGAAATGCTACAGGTACACCGGAAGGCTGGCGCAGGAAGGAGGAGCTTGCTCCTCCCTCCTGATTCTAGTTGACTTTTTGTTCTGTGAGTCTTTCCTAAGTGATACTATTTGACCCCAATAGAACAATTCTTTCCTGCTGAACCTCTCAATGCAGTTAAATTTTTCCAGCACTTGAAAAACCAGCTTCATCACATTCTCCACCTTCAGATACCTAAGACCAGCTGGACAGAGCTCCATCCTCAGAGACCTGGGTCCCAGTTTCCAAGGGCCCTTCTTTTGAGCTCAGAGACACCAGCAAAGCTGAGCAGTGACCCCTCCTCAGAAGTCTGAATTTCAGTTCCATGTGGGCCCTCTTCGAAGTTTCTAAACTTTAATAATTTCCTATTTTTCACCTTTTTTCCTATAGCACTAGTAGTGGTAGCTGCTTCCTCTAGGATACTTTGGGTCCCTATCACCTTTATCCTTGCAGTTAATCAATTAACAAGTTAATTACTTTATACTTGGTTAACAATTATTGGGGGAGGCTGTTGTAGGTTTTTTGGTGCTGGGGATTGAACTCAGGGCCTCAAGCATGCTTAGCAAACATTCTACCACTGCGTTGCTCCCCCCTTCCCCCTCAGCTTATATTGTTTTTGTTTGTTTGTGTTCCTGGGGATTAAATTCATCACCTTGTACATGCTAACCATGCACTCTACTACTGAGCTATATCACTAGCCTTGGTTATTAATTACGTTTTCTCTGTTCAATAACTTAAATGTTGATACTAATCAGGGTTCTGAACCAGTTAAGTATAAGTGATGAAGAAATAAGACAAACTTGAAAATACTATAAAAACATTTATTCTCTGGATTTAATTCATTTTAAAACATAACAATACCTTATCACTTTGTTCCACTGAAAAGATATCTAGCAGGAATAGAGATATTGCTTGAAGAAACAAGAGATAGTGGCTGTACTCCCACATCACCATAAAGGTGTAAGTTGAAGCACTCATTAACAAGTAGCAAAACCTCTAGGAAAACAAAAGAAAGAAACTTAATTATAAGTGGCTTTTCATTATAAAAACCCATGAGGTTGTTATCTCAAAGTTGCAACTCAGTTATTAGTTAACTTTAAGCTATAAACTTGGAACTATTTTAAAATCACAAAACATTAACATTTTAAATAAGGCACTGTTTGAAGGACTGGTTCTTCTACTTCATACTGCAAATCACAGGAAAACAAAGGGAGCATGTGGGAGGAAGCTGGGAAAGGGCAAATTCAGTATAATTTTTCCTTCATCCGAAAAGAAATAAAGCAAAAAATACAAGAAAACAATGACTTTTACTAGATTTAGCTGGTGAATGTCTGTTAATGTGGAAGTAACTTTGTTTGTCCTGAAAATAGTATTTTACTTCCATGGTGCTACCACTTAAGGAGTAAGTTTGTCTCAGCCTAACTCTAGTCAAGGCTTTTGTTCTTTTTTTTTTGCTCTTAAGAAAAGTTTGGCTTTTTTTTTTTCAATACTAGAGTTTGAACCCTTCACCATTGCTAGGCAGGCACTCTACCTCTTGAACCATACCTCCATCCCAATGCTAGTATTGTCTGCCATATGAAATACACAGCTGTTTTCCTCTACTAATTACTAAACAGGGATTTCATTTCTCTTTTGAAATATGCCTGGCTAAAATCAGTACTGTCCTCCCAACATAATCTCCCAAATGATCCTTTAATTAGTAGCAAAATCTGTGACAGCTCTGGCAAGTCTCTATTTCCTCCATAGACCCACTTTTTCTTTTATTCCCAATTCCTCCACCAGCTCTAGTATCAAATGATCTCATCTAATAAAGAGAGAAGAATGAAGAAGAAGGACAATAAAGGTCAGGTCAAGAAAACTAAGAACTGTGTTCTCTAAATCTCAAGCTTTCATACTTAGCTGACTATACTTGATGATAAGCTCCAGAGTTAGAAATTCCTCAGCCATCAGCAGATAAAAACAAATTTCCAGCATCCTGAGTAAGATTACATCAGACAACAAAATGTAAGAGATGCAGAATTCCACCAGTTGGTCAAATAATACCAGTCACAAAGCTCTTGAGGGCTCCACACTGATAAAACACATAAACTTCCACCCTTCCTAGCCACCATCACTGTATATAAAGCTTTCTGGAAGCCTTCTTATGTGTAACAACCAGAACTACAATAACCATGCCTGAAACCAGCAACCTCAGAGAAACCAGTTTCAGAAATCAGTGAAGGCTCAAATCTACATCCAGCCTAATTAACATACTGAGCATTTGGAGATTACTTTGGGGATTCTGGGGAAAAGTTATAATGTAATAAAATAGGTTAACTACAAGAACTTACTCCCAAACTACTCTAAGAACATTCAGTAAAAATAAGTCTTGAGGCCAGAAATACATGTCAAACACATCTGGACATTTAGCTAGGCTTTTCCCTTTTCCTAAAAATTTTTTATATTCTGCACAGTCTTGTCTACCCCTTACCTTGATCACAGTGCCTCACAGTGCTTGGTTCTCACTATGCCTGCAGTGTGAATATTTTTATACAAGATTTAAGTGACATATCAAATAGGTTAGAATATAGCTTGCTACACTTTTTAGTACTCTCCTTTTAATATTCTTTAAAAATACCCTTTAATATTTGCACACAGATATTTTGCTCTTGTTGTGTACTCTTAAGTAGCAGATGCATGAGTGGCTAGTTATATAACTGAAAAATACAATTTTCCCCCTTTACCTTAACATAAAGAGATAAAGACTAAGGAAGAAAGAATGGGAGTTTAACTATGGATTATTTTTGAAATAGAAAAAAATGATTATGGTTAAACTTTTTTAAGAGAAACAAAATATAACCTAAAATAAGACTATAAGCTATTCTTGGATTCCCTTCAAAAATACAGGGTCTTTCTGCAGTTAGACTTAGAGCCATATGTTAGAGAAGATCACTGTGATTTAAGATGGAAAGAATAAGGACTGGAGGTGTGGCTCAGTGGGAGACCACTTGATTGGCTTGCACAAAGTCCTGGGTTCAATCCTCAGCTCAATAACAACAAAAATACCTCACATTAATAGGACTAAATACGTACTGATGCCAAAAAACAAACGTACAAGGTCGGTAAAAACTGAGGTGGAAAGCAATACACTTTTCACTGCATACACACTTGCACTGACAGAATTGTTTTTACCATATGTATAATGTATATATACTACTTTTTTAACTTAAAAGTAGAATAAAAAATTAGAATGAATGCATAGTACAAAACATAGCAATGAAGATACTCAGAAAAATTATAGTACCAGTGGGAAAAATAATTTAAAAAGATAAACCATTTTTAGGCAATAGGAGTTTTGTTTTAATTCAAAAGAAAAGTAATAAAAGAAACTTCAGCAGTCTATTTCACTATACTAAGAACTTTTATTCAAAAATTGAAGAATTTAGCCCATGCTAGAGCCTCTTGCCTAGCATATATGAAGCCCAGGCTCTGTCTGGTCTCTAGCACCACCAAAACCAAAAACAACAACAACAACAACAATAAAATAAAACCTCTATTCTCTCTTAGATAGCCACACACTCTACTATGAAAACACTTAAATACAAACTCTGGAACTACTGTAGAAAATATTCTTGCTCAGAAAGCTCTTTATACCAACCTAACAATCCACCAAACACACAACAAAAAGAAAAACTACAAATCTGAAATGTGTTCATGTTATTTTACATACAAAAGAAAACATTAAAGTTATAAAAATGAAACAATAAAGTCTGCCATGCTCAGGACTTTTTATCACCACTGAGAGGAGGAAAGAAGAGTGTTTCTTCAGAGATTTCAAAAAGGTTCCAGAGTGCATCCTCTGGTCCAGGTTTAACAGAAGACCTCCCTTGGTCCCTCTGGTTTCTTTTCCTAGCCTGGATTTTTTTTTTCAGTTGGAACTGGGATTTGAACTCGGGGCTTTGCGCTCACAAAGCAATCACTCTACCAGTTGAGCCACACCTCCAGTCCCCTAGTCAGGAGTTCTTAATCCAAGATAGGCAGACTATCAAAGGACTACTACATTTCAGTCAATTTCAATAATTGGCTATTTTGCAGATATTCATTTTATTAAAATCATGATTCTAAAACAGGATCTGTAGGCTTCATCAGCTGCTAAGGGTTTGTGGCAACAACAACAAAGAATCTAAACTATCTGGGCCAGTCTCCTACAACTTTCACTGAAAAGCAAAGCCAAACCTCAGTTATAGAAAGCATTTGAGTAAACAAAGAGAATATGCAGTGCTACCATCAAAGTTAACACTGCTGTCATCTGTGGGGTCATTCTTTGTATCTTCATTAGTATTTCTTCAAATTATGTTAACTAAAGGTCATCAAGGTTGAAGAGAAATGGTAAAATAACAATAGGACAGATTAATTTTCAGCATAAGGTACTTCCAACATATTTATTAAGGAATCATACTATAAAACATAAAATGTTTTCCTTAAAAATATTTCACTGACAATTAGATTACAGAATTATAGCATATAAAAATTACCTGACTATATATCCTTTATTACACAGCCACTAAGATTCACTGAATATGACTTAGCTCTTAATACAACTATCTTTAAAATTATATACATTTGCAATGCATCAGAATTAATTACGATAAACAGATTTCTGTCTTACCTCTGCGTAAGTGTTTAAGTTACTTTTTAAATAGCCTGTAAGTGCAGCAACTTGGCATGCAAAATACGGTAGTGCCCAGTTTTCTCTTAAAGGAATGGAGTGTTCAATTCTTGTTGTATCTACCCTAAAATAAACCACAGATGAACAGCAAAAGCAAGACATTATATTTGTGTAACACTGTACTTTTCAAAGCACTTTCACAAATTTCTCATTGTTCTCTGAAACAATCCTGTGAGGTAGGCATAGATAGAGCCACCATTACCTACACAGCATCTTTGGGGAAATTAGCTATGTCCACCCCAACCTCCCATCCAAGAAGGTGCCACTGTGTTTTACCTGGGCCTTGGTGAGAATTTGCAAAAGGCATGCCACTCTGGCCCCAAGCTGAGGCACTGCTAGTTGTATGCAGCAGCCTGGATTTCTGTCCCCACCCTCTCTCATTAACCAGATGGCTGTCCTTTTCTAGAGTACAATCTGAACTACACAATTAGCAGCCTGGCAGGCACAAAGCTCTTTTCATATTTTACAAAAGGAGTATGAAGCTCAGAGATATGGTGCAAGGTCATATAGCTGGCAGGTAGCATAAATGGAATTATAATGCATATCTTCTGATATCTAGTTTAATAATCTTTTCAGTCAGCAAATTACCCAGTATTAACTTTAGAGTAGTCATTTTTTTTCCTCAGAAAACAAAGGTGCTATTTTTTTAATTTATGAGAATGATGTGTAACTCTCCTAAGCAATAAAGATGGGTATGCTTACATATAATTTAGAACACCCAACAGCCAAGTGGCACACTCCTTCCTACTGTTATCAGAGTTAGTAAATTATATTTCCATTTACACTGATCATGAACCACTGGATTGTTTTGCAAATAGTCAAAATTATAAATATTAAATCCTTATAGACCGAGAAGCTATAGTTGGAACAGTAATAAATTCAGCCAGGTCTAGCATGAAATGACAGCCAAAAGAAACAAACAAAAACTTCAAAAAGCCATGAAAACCAACGTCTAGCCAGGTGCTGGTGTCTCACACCTGTAATCCTAGCTACTCAGGAGGCAGAGATCAGGAGGATTGAGGTTCAAGGCCAACTATTTTTCTAGGAAAAATAGTTGTAAAGGCATCTCAAAAAAAAAAAAAACAATGCAAAACAGAGCTGGCTGAGTGGCTCAAGTGGTAGAATGCCTGCCTAGCAAGCATAAGGCCCTGAATTCAAACTCCAGTACCACCAAGGAAAAAAAAAGGCTAAGGACGTTTTTGAGAAAAATTACATTATAAAGCATATATAAACTCTAAAAATCCTCTTCTCCTAGTCTTAGATCTCTAAGACTAAGAATGTTCTGTTCCTATTCCCTCCCCAACTCCTGTTTCATTCATACTTTTGCCCTCACATCGATCTTTTATTTTTCTTGGAGTAGTATAATGTATTTTGTTACACCAAGTCATCTACAGCCTCCTTCCTCAAATCTACACTTGGTCTATTTCTGATTGAGCAGAACAGTTTATTTAGTAGCTAAGCAAAACAAGACAAAAGATTTTTCTAAGAAGAAAGAGACAAGAACATGGAACAAAATAATTGTACCTTAATACGTTTGTTCTTACTGCTATGCACAATGCTAATCACTATTATAAGAAATCAAGCATTTCCACTGCCTTATAATACATTCAAGTATTTGTCCCATATATAAATATTTTACATAATAAGGGCTGGGGATATAGCTCAGAAATAGAACACTTGTATAGGATGCACTGAGAGAAAAAAATAAAATTATATGTAATCATAATTCTTCAATTAATTCTGATTTTAAGCATATTTATTTTGTATATCCTCCCCCTCTTCATACCTACTCTATTTTGAAAAATGGATTACTTTATTACACACTTTGTTATAGAAATTACTAGAAAATGTAAAAAAAAAAATTTTTTGGGGGGGGACTGGAGTTTGAACTCAGGGTTTAGCACTTACAAAGCAGGTGCTCTACTACTTGAGCCACACCTCCAATCCATTTTGCTCTGGCTATTTTGGAGATGGGAGGTCTTACAAACTGTTTGCTTGGGTTAGCCTCAAACCTCAATACTCCAGAGCTTAGCCTCCAAAGTAGGTAAGATTACAGGTGTAAGCCACTGGCGCCTGACAATTTTTTTTTTTTTTTTTTAAATCAGTGCTAGGGACTGAGCCCAGGGCTTCATCCTTGTGAGGCAAGCACTTTATCACTGGAGCCACATTGCCAGTACTTGTAGTTTGTTTTTCAGACAGAGTTTCCCATCTTGCCCAGATTGGTCTCGAACCACAATCCTCCTACCTTTGCTTCCTGAGTAGCTGGGGTTACAGATGTGCACTATCACACACAGCCGAGGGAGGAAAAACCAAAAACTTTCTAAAAACCTATAATCTCATCCACTCAGAGACTAACATTGTTAAACTTTCTTCTACAGGCTAGCCTTATAGTAAGATGACAAAAAGAAATAAAAGGTATCAAGCTTGAAAAGAAAAGTAAAACTGTTGCTTTTCAGAGAAGACATTTTGTATACAGAAAACCCTAAAGAATCTGCTTTTAAAAACTTCTAAAACTAATAAAGTTAGCAAGGCTGAAGGATACAACGATAATAAACAAAGACCCATTCTTTTTCTAAATACTGTCAATGAACATTATAATTACCACTAATAATAGTATTAAAAAAGATCAAATACCTATGAATACTTCTAAAGAAAGGTATATAAGATTGCTATTAACAGCTGGGTGCTGGGGGCTCATGCCTGTAATCCTAGCTATTGGGAGGCTGAGATCGCGGTGATCAAGGTTCAAGTCCAGTCAGGGAAAACAATTCATGAGACCCCCGTCTCAGAGAAAAATAGACTTGAGGCATGGCTCAAAGAGCAGAGTGCCTGCTTTGTAAGTGTGAAGCCCTGAGTTCAAAAACCTAATCCCACCAAAAACAAAATAAAAAAAAAACCCAAACAACTGCTACAACCACAAAATATTTAGAGAATGTAAAGAAGGCCAAAAGAAATGGGGTAATTTATCTTTCATGTTTTATATACCGTGGTAGATTTGATATTGTTAAATGTCCATTCTCTCAAGGGCAGTATTAGGATATAGTGGGGACCTTTAAAGGGCAGAGCCAGGTGGGAGGTCCTTGGGTCAATTAGAGCATGTCCTTGAAAGAGACTATGCTTTCAGCTTCTTGGCTTCCTGGCTTCAGAAGTGATCCTTTGTTCCAACATGCAGACCTGAGCACTTAGCCACACCTCTGGTATCAAACACATTTTTAGAAACTTACTTGGGAAGAACATTTCAGTTGTCATATACAGTTTAGCAGATTACATCAGGTCAATTTTTTTACTTCACTCCTTCTCCAGCTCTATAGGATACATCAGTGACATTAAAGTAAGCAACCATGTTTTTCTTTATTTCAGTCCTTATAATTTTCACAAAGGTCTCTAGATATATTCTATTTGACAGGAACTTATTTTTCTTTAGGGTCATTAAGTTTACACAGGACAATTGCCTAGGGACTGCCATATATCTCAGTGGCAGAGTGCCTGCCTGGCATGCATGAGCCCCCTGGGGTTAATTCTCAGGGTTTAAAAAAAAAAAAAGTGCCTTGGTTTCCTCTATGGATATGAAGATAAATGTAGTGATCAGATGAAATGGATTCTAAAGTTCACCAAATGTGGTAGCCTCTAAGATGGCCTTGATGGGTCATTCCTCTGGGTGTTAGTGTTGTTACCTTCCATATTGCATCAGGATTGGTCTGTATGACTGACAGAGTATGTCAGAATGATGTTACATTGTTTCCAAGATTACATTACAAAAGACATCTGGCTTCCACTATGGCACATTCTCATACTCTCTTGGATCATTAACTATTAAGCTAGTTTACTTATTTACTTATTTTTGTAGTACTAGGACTGCACCCAGGGACAAGTGTTCTACCACTTGAGTCCTTTTGTTCTTATTGTTTTAGGGTCTCACTAACCTTGCCCAGCTGGCTACAAACTCAAGATCCTCCTGTCTCCACCTCCAAGCAGCTGGTATGAGAGATGAGCCACTGTGCCCAGCAACTATAATATCTGGACTGAAACCTCAGCAGTGATGCTAATTCAGAACCACTGATCTAGGCCTCTCTGGATTTCTGTCCCCCAGAAATATGTCAGATAATACTTGGTGTTTTAAGTGTTAAGTTTTGTTATCAACAATAACTAATAAATCACAATACTCTTAGAAGGCCTATATTTTACATAAAGCAAACAATTGTGCTTTACACTAAATAGCATTTCATTCTAAGAAGCAAGTCTATGAGTTTGGTCATGGTCTGTGGTATCATTAAATTTCTAAAAAAATTAAAAAATCCTAATGAGATTTTAGCAAAGTACAGAACAATCTAAATTTAACTACAGGTACTCTCTGGCATAACAAGAAATCATCTCATCCTCGGCATCCAAGCTGGATTCTCTAATACCATTTCTTTATGAAGAGGAATGAAAGCACCACAGAAAATGGCTAAAGCCAAATCTTCCACAGGGAATGTATAAAACCTGCTCACCTTGTTGAGCCACTAAACCAGAAAAAATTCAAAGATTAACAAACTCAGGAGCCAGCCTAAAAATACTCCTATTAACCAAACTTGTGCAACAAAAAGAAAATGATGGTAATGTATCGAGACTCACTGCATCAATGAAAATTGACTAAGTATAGAAAGATGCTAGAGAGACAGAGAGGTGTGAGAATAGTTCAGTGGTAGAGCAGTTGCCTAATATGTGCAAGATCCTGGATTCGATCCCAGTATCAAAAACTACAACCCCTCCCCAAAAGAGAGAAGAAAAACAAAGTGTTTGGTCACTTATCTGAGACAGCTATTAAAATAATCTCTAATATAGCAATTGATAAGTTAGGTGCAATTAAGCACTTGTCCTTACTTTATATTAGTAACTAAATATAAAGAACCAAGTACCCCTGGTTAAAAAGAAAAATCCTATTTTTGGAAAATGAAGAATGTGCTAATGGAAATAGAAAAGTATAGTTTCATGAACCCTAGTGAAATGACTAGCTTAGGTAAAGACTTCCAACTGGTGTTACAAATCTCAGGTAAATGAGCCGCACCCCCGGTGATTTACACCTATAATCCTACCTATTCAGGAGGCAGAGATCAGGAAGATCATGGTTCAAAGTCAGCCTGAGTAAGTAGTTCACAAGACCCTATCTCAAAAATACCCAATGCAAAAATGGCTGGTGGAGTGGCTCAAGTGGTAGAGCACCTGCCTAGCAAACATGAAGCCCGGAGTTCAAACTCCAATGCTAAAACCAAAAACCAAAAAAAAAACAGCTAGTAGTAAGGGACATTCCCTTACCCTTTAACCTTTAGGTAAAAGGTTAAATGTAAAAAAGGCCAAAGGACACCACACAGATTATTATCTAGTCATTAGAGAAAAACACATTGAATGGAGAAATCAGTCTGTTGTCCCCAAACTAGCAGACAATGTCAGCTTCAGTAGGTGTAGATCAGTTAAGTATTATAAAACTTCTAATGTTGTGGAACATGAAAAACACATCATCCAAAATATATTCTAAACCAGAATTGCTTATCTTGATCCAATCAAGCCCTCAGATAAAACTCACAGATTAAAGAAACATTGGTTGTAAGAGTAAAAGTTAATGACCAAGATGATGCAACAAGAGAAATCCAGACAGTAAGATATTGTATAGGACAGCTGACTGACTTAGTCTCTTACCATAAAAAGATTACATGCTGGTGTGGCAAGGCACACCTATAATCCCAACACTTGGGAGGATCATTAGTTCAAGGTCAGCCTGGTCAACATAGCAAGTTCTAGGCCAGCCTGGGAATACCGTGAAACTCTCTCCAAAAAGAAAGAGAGAGTGACTATGGCAGATTTAAAAAGAATTAACATATCCACCAAATGTAGTATGTAGTATAGTACTAGATTACTATGGGTTTGGATAAGCTAGCTATGTATTTGGGGCCAACTGTGTAAATTGTTAATAAGGACTAAGTACTATATAAGACAAAATGTTACTGAAATGAAAGAGAAGCTGTTGAATAAAGAAATCATGAGAGAGAGTGGGAAGGGTGGGTCCCACTTCTAAGCAGTTTCCTTTCTTTTGATAGGGAAAAAAGAGTGAATTAAAAATGGGTGATGTTGGGTTGGAGGAGTGGCTCAAGTGGTACAGTGCCTGCCTAGCAAGTGTGAGGCCTTGAGTTCAAACCCCAGTACCACCAAAAAAAAAGGGTGATGTTGAGAAAGGCAAAAAGATTTTCGTTTAGAAGTATGCCCAGTGCCACACAGTGGAAAAGGGAGGCAAGCACAAGACTAGGCCAAATCTCCATGGTCTGTATGGGTGCAAGACAGGCTAGATTGTTGGATTCTCTTACACAAATGCCAACAAGAACAAAGGCATCACCTGGGGGGAGTGGTACACTGAATGAGTATTTGGAGAATCCCAAAAAGTACATCCCTGCAACAAAAATGATCTTCGCTGGTATTAAAAAGGAAGAAAAGGCAGACTTCATAGCTTAGCTCAAAAAAAGAAAGAGTTACCAATGAGTAATAACCACTGCCTTTATTACAAAACAGAAGTGTCTCGTGGCTTTTTTATTAACACCAGAATTCAGATCATAAATGGCTGGCAGAATATTTTTGTTGGGCAGTCCTGATTTAAGTAAAATTGGCTTGTAGTTAAATGAATGTGGTCTTTTTTAGAAAAAATTTCAGTTAAGTAAATACTGTCACAGTTTTCCCTTTCTAAAGATATGATTGGACTTAATTAGTAATGTTCAACTTTTCACAAAGATGGGAAATGCCATCTCAAAACCTAGTGAGGATTGGTTTTATATTTAAATTTATATAACTGGTTATGAAAATATGTTTAAATACTTGGAAATTCCCTTTACTATCTCAAAACATAGTTCACCTGTATTTTAATTTATGATCACTTGCCTGTTCAAGGCAACACTGAAGATAAGGAAGCAATGTCTGTATTTTTGGTCTTCACTACTACCAATTTAAAATGCTGCCTTTTACTTATTGAAAAACATTTTAGTGTGGTTTATGTGTAATATCAAATAAAGAATATTTAACACTTCTCACAAAAAAATCATGTAACAGTGTATGTAATGTATCTCATTTTGGAAAAAAAAAAAACACAAATATATATAAACACATTTACATGGAAAAAGACCCAAAAACATATCCACTAAGAAACGAATGATCTCTAGATGATGGGAATATGAAGTTATTCTTTTATTTTTGTTGGTCTCAATTATCCACTTCTTTTACAAAAATAAGGTTTGATTTACCCCTGTGCTTTTAAGAAGAAACATACGTAACTGATAAAGCAAGACAGCTATACTTGAAGACTTTTTAAAAGGATTTAAAATACCCTTTATATCAAACTGCTGCTAGCAAGTAAAGCTAAATATAAACAAAGCCCAGTAAGAAATACAGCTGTTAATGTTGAATTTAATAACTTGAAAGCATCATATTTTTCATCTGACAACTGCCAAAGGAAGAGAAAATGTGTAACAGAAGAAATGTTTCATTTTTAAAATTTTATCTAAGGCATGTCTATCAAACAAGAAATAAACTTATGCTGAGCATGGTGATGCACACTTACAATCCCAGCTGAGGCAGAAGATTGAGAGTTCAAGTGCAGCCTTGGATACATAGTGAGACCTTGTTTCAAAAAAAAAAAAAAAGAGAAAGAGAAAGAGAGAGGGAGGGAGGGAGGAAAGAAGGAAACTTATGACACTGACCAATTCCAAGAAAATTTAATGGCATGTCTCAAACAAGCCCTCCATCTCAGAAAAGCTTCATCTGCTACTTTCTTTACTTGCTATTAAAAAACTAAGGCTCACTGATCACCAATGGGGATGGGCTTATTCAAAGGGCACTTTACAGATTAACAGTCTTTATCTGTGGTGGCTAACTTAACAGTAATATAGTAAAACTAATGTCTTTTCCTCTTTTGCAAAAAGCTGTAGTGTGAATTTTAAATAAAAGAGTAAGGAAGAGGTATATCCACATATGCCAATGTTGCTATGTCAGAAAAAAAAAAAGACACAGAAGTAATGCATTATTTTTCAACTGTTGAGTGACAAATGACTACAAATATTGCAGCTTACAACCAAATAAATTTATTATAACTCACAAAGGTCAGGAGAGTATGGCTGAATTTTCTTTCCAGAAAATTTCAATGTATCAGTCAGAGCTACAGTTCTATCAGGGTCTTGCAGTCTTCTTACGAAGCTTACTGGCTGTTGACAGAACTTACTTCCTCCCTGCTTCAAGGCAGCCATAGAATGGTGAATCCTTCTCATGAATTCAATCTGACTTCTCCTTCTGTACCAGCTAGATAAAACTCCCTGCTCTTAAAGGCTCATGTAATTAGATCAGGTCCATAGGGTAATCTTCCCACCTGAAGCTGTGCCATATAGCATAGCATAATCATAAGAATGATATATTATTCACAGGTTGGGGAATTAGGGTTGGAAACCCTGGGGAGAGGGGGCATTTCAGAGTTCTAACACAACCAAAAAACTGTAAACATCCAATAAAAATACCTGTCTTACCTGTTAATAATGAACCATGCAACAGTGAGTATTCCTGCTAGCCATGTTCCACTCATCAGCCAACTTGTAACAAATAAAGCAGTAACATATATTCCTTGTAATCCAAAAACAATGCCAATATAGAAATACTCTGGTTCAGTAATCTCCTAAATGGAAAAAAAAGAAGGGGAGTGATTATAATAGAGTGACAATAAACAATTTAAAGATTCGCAAGTATGTGAGAAACAGACATTATGGTCAAAAGAAAAATACATACATTGCTACCAGTTGCGTGATATAAAACACTGGCAATAAGTTCTGGGTATAGAGACATTTGCTGTACTGCATTTATAGTCTTCAGAGATACAGTTTTGTTATTGTGTGTCAATTCATAAACACCTAAAAACAGAAACATTTTTCTCCAGATTATTTATTCTGCTTTTACAGTAAACATGTCATTCAAATATTTATTATTATGAGATTCCAAAATATAATACTCTATTAAGCACCATAAAGAGAAAATAATACTGTATTAAGCACCATAAAGAGAAAAAGCTATATTCTAAGACGAAAATTCCGTATCTTAAGGCTCCAAGGGCTGGCACAGTGGCTCAAGTGGTAGAGCACCTGCCTTGCAAATGTGAGTGAGTTCAAGCCCCAGTACCATTAAAAAAAAAAAAAAAAAGAGGTCAGGAGCACCAGTGGCTCACGCCTATAATCCTATCTACTCAGGGGGCAAACATTAGGAGGATCATGGTTTAAAGTCAGCCCAGGCAAATAGTTCACAAGACCCTATCTTGAAAGAACCCATCACAAAAAAAGTCTGGTGGAGTGGCTCAAGGTGAAGGCCCTGGGTTCAAACCCTAGCACTCAAAAAAAAAAAAAAAAAAAGCTCCAATATTGCAGAACATTTTATTTTAGAAAAATATTCTTATTATAAATACAATTGTAATTATCATACCTCTTTCAAATGAAGGTGCCTTTAACATATCTTTATAATAGGAGTAATAAATACCACTGTCACCCTGAAATGTGATTTCCCGTTCAAGTTCCTAAAATAAAATGAAATGAATACTTAAATATCAGTATTTTTTACTTTCAGCTGTAATCTTTCTTTCCCCATATCTTCTAAGTCAACATGACATTTATTTTATCCTTTTCTTTTTTTTTTCCAGCAGTCCAATCTGGAATATTTACCCTTTTCTTCAAAGACATGTTTGAAAATTAGAAATAAGGGCAAAATAGTTTCTGCTGGGTATTGGGAGGGGGAGAGGGAGGGGGCGGAGTGGGTGGTAAGGGAGGGGGTGGGGGCAGTGGGGAGAAATGAACCAATCCTTGTATGTACATATGAATAATAAAAGAAAAATGAAAAAAAAACAAAAACAAAGACATGTTTGAATTTCTTTTGATCACCATACTAATGAGAGTAAACTTTTAATACTCTAGCAACATTTTAATGAAACACTTTAAGGTTTCAAACAGATTGTAATTCATATATCATTATTTGTTTTTTATATGTAAAGAAAACCTAGAAGGAAAACCAAAAGAATGCACTAAAAATAACAAATAGTGACACAGGTAATAAATAATAGTTGAAGTGTTGGAAGCCCATAATAGTTAAATGAAAAAAGTAGTATTTGCTATTACTATTCCATGTCCTATGTATCTAGAACAGTGAGGCTATAATTAATTGATACTTTTCAAGCTCAACAGATAGCTAGTCAGTGCTTTTCAAATAAATTCCAGAAACGTAAGCAAGACTTTAAATTCCTCCAGGCTATATAACTCATTGTAGAGGGCTTGCCTAGCATGCAAAGGCCCTACATTCAATCCCAGCACAAAAAAAAAAAAAAAAATCCTAAAATTAGGCTATTAGAACCAAGAATGTACTAGTCAAAATATTAGGAATCTTAGTTTTTTTAATGCTGAATCGAATTTTCATAAATCTGTAAAATATATACTGCCATACTGGGAATCAAACCCAGGACCTTGTGCATGCTAAGCAAGCAGTCTACACCGAACTATAACCCCAGCCCTGCAGGTATGATCTTTTTGAAATCAAGCAAATTATGTTCATGAATGATATAGGTTGAGCATTCCTAGTCCAAAAATCTGAAATCCTAAGTGTTCCAAAATCTGAAATTTTTTGAGCCATGAGTAGAAAATAGTTCATATCTGACCTCATGTGAGGGGTAGCATAAAAGTGCAGACACACTTAAATTACCTTCAGGGTTTGTGTATGAAGCATATATAAAAATATATGAATTTCATGTTTAGACTTGGGTCCCCTCTCAAAATACATTATTAAAAGATGTGCAAATATTCTAAGTTCCTAAAACAACAAAATCTGAAGTACTCTCTAGCATTTTGGGTAAGTAATAACTCTTATTTTCATTTTTATTCGCTTAAATTTATTAGCATTTAATAATTGTATAGGGGGACACATTGCAATATTTACATATGTGCTTACAATGTATCTTCATTAGATTTACCCCCTCCATCCTTCTCCCTCTTCCCCTCCTTCCCTTTTCTTAGAACAATTTCAACAGGTTTCATTCTTTTATTTTCACATGTGAATACAAAATACATCTGTCATATTCACCCTCATTCACCTTTTCCTTACACTCACCCCCCTCCACTGGTACTCACCCCCCTCCACTGGTACCCACCCCAGGAAAAGATCTATTTTACTCTCCTGATCGTCATTTTTTTTAAAGTATGTATTGATGGTTCAAGAGAGTTTTGACCTGGTACTTCAGGCCTGTATATATTGTGCTTTAATCAATTTAACCACCCCGAGTTACTCTTTCTATATCACCATGCTCCCCTAATATTCAATAGCTTACAGTACAGTACATTGTACTATATTCATATATAGATGGGCTGCTTCATTCTCTAACATTTTCTTTCCCTCTCCTGTGCCTCTCATAGTCCCCTCAGACAGACTAATACAATTTTGTTCTCTCACTATTCTCGCTCCATGTATGCATGTGTATATATATATATAAAATCATGTATGTATCTATACATTATAGATCTAGCTTCCACATGAGGGAAAACATGCAACCTCTGGCTTTTTTGAGCCTGTCTTACTTCGCTTAACATGAAGTTCTCCAGTTCCATCCATTTATCTGTAAACAACATAATTTCATTTTTTTTTTTTTTTTGCGGCGGGGGGTCGGGTACTTGGGTTTGAACTCAGGGTCTCATGCTTGCTAGGCATGTGCTTTACCACCTGGGCCACTCCACCAGCCCTCATTCTTAAGTCTGAATAAAACTGAATTGTTTATATATACCACATTTTCTTAAATCCAAAACTTGGCTACTGTAAATAGTGCTACATTAAACATGGTTGTGCAAGTGGCGCTATCACATCCTGGAGAGCATTCTTTCACATATATGCCTAGGAGTGGTATCACTGGATCATATGGTAGCTCTATTTTTAGTTTTTGAGGGACCTCCATATTGCTTTCCATAGCAGTTGAATTAATTTACATTCCCACCAATAGTGTAAAGTGTGACTTCCCCCCCACATCCTTACCAGCATCTGCTGTTGTTTGTGTTATTGATGATAGTCACTCTGACTGGGGTGAGGTGGAATCTCAATGTAGTTTTGATCTGCATTTCCTTTATGGCCAATTGTACTTTTGAGAATTGTATGATTAGTTCATTTGCCCATTTATTCAGTGGGTTGTTGATTCTTTGAGAAGTTAGTTTTTTTGAGTTTCCTGTAAATTGCAGTTATTAATCCCCTGTCAGACTATATTTTTCAATGAAAAAAAAAAAAAGATACTGGAGTAGTTGTCCAAAGTTTGGACTTCCCAAGATGTTAGTAAAAGAAGTTTTGACTTGGGAGGCTGAGACTGGAGAACTTGCAGTTCAAAGTCAGCCTAGGCAGTTAGCAAGACCTCACTTTAGGAAAAAGCTGGGTGTGGTGGTACATGCCTATCATCCCAGCTATGGCAGGAAGCAAAAACAGGATCACAGTCCAGGCCAGCCTGAACAAAAAGCAAGACCCTATACCCAAAATAAACAGAGAGAAAGGAGTTGAAGGCATGGCTCAAGTGGTAGAGCATCAGTCCTGCAGATATGAAGCCCTGAGTTCAAAACCCAGCATGGCCAAAAAAAATAAAAGGACATGGTTACTCAATGTTATAATCCAAGCACTCAGGAGGATGAGGCAGGAGGATCATGAGACCCTGCTTTAAATATATAAATAAGTAAGTAAGTAAATAAATAAATAAATAGTTCTGCAGTCAAGTTTTGAGAATGGCTGGATTGAACAGTTAAATGAGTTTTTTTATTGCAAAACTTTTCTGAGTTTCCATATACACTACACACTGTATATCTCTAAGAAGTCTTTTCCAGGTCTGCCTACCAAATTAATGCCTCCCCTCTCCCACCATCCCGAGTTAGAGTTTGCTATGGTCTGGAAGTTTCTGTGCTCCCCACCCCCACCCAGTTTCATATGTTGAAGCCTGATCTCCATCCAATGTGATGGTATTTGGAAGTGGAGCATTTGGGAATGCATTATGTGAATAAGTCATGAATTATTCATCATGAATTAGTCATCTCATGAATGGGATTAGTGCCCTTATAAGAGACAACTGAGAGATCCCTTGCCTCACTGCCATGTGAAGAAGATGTAGCTAGTTGGGCTCCAGTGGCTCATGCCTATAATCCTAGCTACTCAGGAGGCAGAGATGAGGAGGACTGCGGTTCAAAGCCAGCCCAGGCAAATAGTTCGTGAGCCCATCTCGAAAACACCCTTCACAAGAAAGGGCTGGTGGAGTTGCTCAAGGTATAGGTCCTGAGTTCAAGTCCCGGCACCACAAAAAAAAAAAAAAAAAGATGTAGCTATAATGAAAAGATGGCCAACTATGAACCAAAAATCAGGTCCTCACCAGACAATGAATCTGCTGGTGCCTTAACGCAGACTTCCAGCCCCACTTTATAACAAATATTTTGTTACAACAGCTCAAATGTACTAAGACAGAACTTACTAACCTAAATAAACTTCCTTAAAATGATGTTTTTAATGGAAACAGATTTGGTTCTTTCTAAGATTTCAAAGATGAAACTCTTAATCAGTGCTTCTTTAAATTTGCTGTGCCTATGAAACACCTACAGACCTTTTAAAATGTATGTGCCAGTGTTCCTGATCATACAAAATACTTTGAAAAACAAAGTTCTAGATGAATGTCTTCTGTATTTTCAAACCTTTGGTTGTTCTCAGTTCTGCCACATAAGAGAACTGCCTAGAAATATTTTTTTGAAATACTGATTCTAGTCACTCCTACTTACCCACCTAAAAATCTGATGGGTTTCTTTTTGAAAGCTCCCTAGATAATTTCATCCTACATCTGGTAATGGGAACAACTATTAATCTTATGTACCCTTTTTTTTTTTTTTTCTTTTTTTGATAGTACTAGGGCCTCACATTTGCTAGGCAGGCACTCTACCACTTCAGTCACTTCACCAGCCATTTTTTGTGTTGGGTTTTCAAAACAGGATCTCATGAACTATTTGCTTAGGCAGGCTTTGAATCCCAATCCTCCTGATCGCTGCCTCCTGAGTAGCTAGGATTATAGGTGTGAGCCACCAGCACCCGGAAGTCTAGGTAACATTTTTAAGAAAAAAGTATGTGCTACAGTAATAGCTAAATCAGTAAAAGTGTAGTCAGTAATTACATAAATGTTTTGGTAGCATTAGATAAAACAATGGCTTAGAAACATTTAGTCAGCTTAACTATTTGCTCAAAAACAAGAACAAGAAAAAAACCCAGTTTGAGCTCAAAAAATTAAAATGAGATCAAATGAACTTTGAAAGCAAACTCATCCAATGGTCAAATGATGAAATTACAAATATATCTATATTGACTTAAAAAGTCTGTGGAATATACATAACTTAGAGCCAAACTTTAAACACAGTAATATGTGGCAATATCTTATTAAATACTATATTATGCCTGTTAATCATTTTCAACCCATCCAAAAAAATTCTAGTTATATAATCTAAAAATTCAAATATTTTTAATGCTGAAACTCCACAGATTGTTTCTGAAATGTAAGCTGTCAAAACTAGTAAAATGTGCTCAGTCGACTGAGCACATTATTTCATTATTTCCTGCAGAGATTCAGCTTGACCTGACCACAGCTATCCTGAATTATAACTGCCATGACTGCCTGAGTAACCCTAGTCTGTTTTCTCCCATAGTTTCCCAGCAGACTATAAATAGACAAAACCATTGGAGTGGAATGTGGAACTTTCAACCTGTACCCTGGTGTCGCCAGAAATGTTCCTAAAGTCCTTGATGCCAGCTTGAGATAAACCAGGTGCATTCTGGCTTGGATGAAGTCACTTTTGTCTTGACCATTATAAAAGCCCCATCCTTCTAATCCAAATCATATGGATCCACTTGTTCTGCTGCTGCCTAAGACATGGTTCTGTATATAGGTCCCCAATACATTATACTCCATGCACTCCTGGATCTGCCTGCCTCTTTCTTCAGTCTCATGACCCCTTACAGCCAGTTCTCATACACTGGAACAGGATTTTCTGCAACACTTCCTGATAAATGAAGTGTACAAGAAGAGTACCCCATAGCTTTTATTCCATGAAATATTCTTTCACATATTAAGGTTGATACTGTGACTGTATTCTCTAAAGAGTTTCTATAACATTTGGTTACTAACAGCCATAAATAAGATAGCACTTATCATACTTACCACACATATATTTTGATTTCCTAGAAAATGCATTACTTAGATTGATATTAACACTTAACTCATTTTCATATGTTCAAAATTCTTTCTTCTTACCTGCCTGTTGGAAAACCAGAACTTACGTTCATGGTACGCTGATAGGTAGAGAGCATACATCATGCCACTAGTAACTGCTGCAAGACAGCCAATGAAAATCTTTGCAAAGCGCTGAAATAATAGATCTGAAAAAGCATAATAAAATTAATCAAATGGTAATATATACCCTCAATATGATGTGGTAACAAACTCAAATGTTCCTTCTCAAAAAGAAGAGGAAGGGGAAGGGAGAAGAGAGGTGGGGAGGAGAGGGGAGGAGAGGAACAGAATTTTTATTTGTTTTTTTTTGTAGCACTGGAGTTTGAACTTGGCCTCACACTTGCTAGGCAGGTGCTCTACCATATGAACCACAGCCTTGCACTGTTTTTTAATTTTAAACAGGTCATTTTTGTTTGTTACCTTTTATTTTTTTGGCAGTACTAGGATTTGAACTCAGAGCACTGTACTTGCTAGGTTTAATTTTTTTGTTTTTTGGAGGGGTCTTGTTAGCCCAGGCTGGTCCTGAATGCAACATCCTCCTGCCTAACCTTCTCCAGTACTAGAATTACAGGTGTGTGCCACCCCACCAACTCTGATGACTATATAACAAAATATCACATACAAGTACTACATATATATAACTATTTTTAGATAAAATAGCTTAGAACACATTCAAATTTTGTATCCATTCCTGCAACAATTTTTTAAAGTGTAATAAGCACAAGCCTAAGGGCCTGAAACTCAGTGTTCTGATACTGAATGGCTGACAGATTTATAAAAATCAACTTGTTGATATTGGATTGGTTAAAAATTTTAGAGCTTGCCTAGCATGAGCAAGGCCTTGGGCTTAATCCTGAACACCAACACACAAACAAAGCAAAAAAAAAAAAAAAAAAATCACCACTTCGTTATTTTCGAAATATCATTATTTATTTGCTAAAATAAATATAACTAAATTAGAATTATATTCTCAACATTACTACTTATCAAATAGAATAAACAATTAGATAGCACTAAATTAAAAATAATTATATCCTAAATGCTAGGTTTATAAGTGTATAATCCTAGCTACTCAGGAGGCAGAGATAGGGAGGATCATGGTTTGAGGCCAGCCCAGGCAAAAAGCTCCTAAGACCACCATCTCAACCAATAAAAAGTTGGGCATGATGGTGCATGCCTGCTATCTTAGGTACCTGGAAAGCATAAGTGGTCCAGTCTGGCCTGGGCGTAAATCTGTGAGTGTATCGAATCACTGGCTGGGCGCCAGTGGCTCACCCCTGTAATTCTAATTACTTGGGAGGCTAAGATTCAGAGGATTGCCTAGGTCAGCCTAGGCAAACAGTTTGAAAGATCCCATCTCCAAAATAACCAAAGTAAAATGGGCTGGAGTGTGACTCAAGCACATTGCAAAGTGCAAAGCCCTGAGTTCAAACCCTAGTCCACAAAAAAAAAAAAAAAGAACAAAAAGGGATGGGGCATGGCTCAAGTGGCAGAACTCCAAATTCAAACCCCAGTACTGGAAAAAAGAATGCATATAATGCACACACATATATATAAAAACATACAAAAGACGCTTATCTAAGAGTGTTCATAGCGTGGATATTACTACTGGAAACAACAAAAGTAGAAGGGAGAAACAATTATGGTATAAGCAATTAAAAGGAATGAAAGACATATTCACAATATGATTGAACTTCAAAATAATTATCTGTACTTTTTTTTGGTGCTGGGGATTGAACCTAGGGCCTCTCAAATGTTAAACACATGCTCAAGCCTGAGCTACACCCCCAGCCATAAAATGGTATTTTTATAGAACAATATCCTGAGTTAAATGAAAGAATCCAGACATATGTATGATTCTATTTATATTAAAGGCCTAGAACATGTAAAATTAATTATTCTACAGTAATAAGTAGCAGAACAGTTCTCATGTTGCAAGTATTATCAGAAACCTACCAGGAAGGAATACAGGAAACTTTATGGAATAATGGAGATGTCCTACAGCTTGTTTAATAGAGCTTGTTTGGACTCTATTAACTCATTTAAACACCTAAAATTCAGTATATTTAACTGTGGGTTAATCATACCTCTATTTCAAAAATTAGGGGTTGGGGGCGTAGCTTGATGATAAGTGTGCGCAAGGCCCTGGGTTCAATCCCTATCACAAATAAAATAAAATGAACCACTCATTTTACTAATTTTTACTAATATTTTTTAATGGTTTTAGGGATTGAACCCAGGGACTTTAATGCTTGCTAGGCGGTTGCTCTACTACTTAAGCCATGCCCCCAGCCTTTTTTGCTTTAGCTCTTTTTCAAGTAGGATCTTATGTTTTTACCTGGGATAGCCTGGACTTGATCCTCCTCTTTACACCTTCATGTAGCTGGGATGACATGCACACGCCACCATGCAAAGTTTACTGAATAAGATGGAGTCACACTAACTTTTTTTGCCCAGACTGGCCTCAGGTCCTCCTGACCACCTCCTGAATAGCTGGGATTATAGATGTAGCCACCCTGCTTGGCCTAAACCGTTCAGTTAAAAAAAATTTTTTTCGAGGCCCTGAATATTACAAAAAAAAAAAAGAGTTGGCTTTTTACTTACTTGATTCCAATCAACTTTAATTCCAGTAAGAGTACTCACAACTTTTTTTCTAGCTACATCTCTCTTAAAAGTTTAAACAGTTTGAATTTACCAAACTTTTGTGGGACAACCGCCTTAGTTATTTTTCCTAAGTTCTATGCCCAATGAAAAGGGTTTAGTAGGAAATAATGTTATTCATTTCTTCATTTGAACAACCTGTGTGTCAATCAGCCCCTTGATTTGATCATTGCCCCAGCACTCATCTTAACCTTCATTACTTAAAGTATGTCTTGATTGAACTACTTAATTGTTGATTGGTTGAACAATGCAAACAGTTCTAACACTGCAAAATTTTTGAGTGTCTATTTTCCTCTTCATTCCCATTCGTAAATAAGCCAATTCTGAGCTACACTCATCTCTATCCTGCAATCAAATAACCAACACACTCTAGCCTGTTTTGCAATCTGGTTACTACTGTAACTATTCACAAGAAACAGTACTACCAAATGCTTGTCAATGCATAATATGGATCTTGTTCTTATTTGAGCAAGTGTATATAGGCCTTATCTGTCTATGAACAGGAAGCAAAATGAAAAAGCTGTTTCGCACCTAAGGATGACATATTCTCCAATGTTATCTCCATCTGAAGATTTAGAAAAGGAAAGACCTCCAGGGGATGAAGCCAAGGACCATGGAGAACAATGAACTGGAAGCACTTCCCAAGAAACACAACTAGAACACATTACAAAACATTCCCTATGTCAGAGTAGGGAACCCTCAGTTGCTTGATAGGATTTCAGAATTGCTATGGACCAGTGGCTGATGGGTATCTCCTACTCTTTCTTTCAAATGGGAGCATTTATACTGACACTCCTATACCTGTCCAACAATGTTGAGAGAGGGGACATGTGCAGAAAAAATGTAACAATGCAGGCCCAAGACTACTTTCAAAAGAAGGGGCTGAATACAAGGTAGGCTTTTGGCTGGCACCTGGGAACTTGGATTTCAGGAGAGTTTCTACCATTTTCTGACTGATAAGGGTGGTTTACTGTATCTACCATACATGTATAATGGTGTATGCTTTCCCCTGGGAGTCTAGAATTTTGGTATGTGGTAGGTAAAAGGTATCTACATGACTAGCCCCCAGTAAAAGCCCTGAATAATGAGTCACTAGTGAGTTTCACTGGTTGACAAAACTGCAAATGTCACAATTTGATGGTGAAGTAATCAAGCATGTCCTGTGTGATTCCACTGGGAGAGTTATTTTGGAAGCATCCATCTGGTTTGTTGCAGACTTTGCCCCATAAATCTTTTCCCTTTGCTGATTTTGTTTTGTATTGTTCACTGTAATAAATCTTAGCCGTAAATACAACTATATTCTGAGATCTGTGAGTACCATGAGCTAATAATCAAACATGAGGATGAGTCATGTGTCAGGGTCCCCAAGATCCTTGTTTTTTTAGTTCATAAAAGATAACTTGTCTTTTTTAGTTCATAGGTCTTGGGATCCAAATGAGTCAATAGCTGGACCTGAAGAGCCTGGATAAGAAGAGCCTGGGTTGCAAGACTGATGCTTTGAGTAGTTTTTTTGTTTTGTTTTGGTGGCACTAGAATTTGAACTCTAGGCCTCACACTTGCTAGGCAGTGCTCTTATCACTTGAGCCACTCTACTAGTCCACTTTGAGGAGTTAAAAATGGGTGTCTCCCTTACCCTAGGTGAGACGGTAAGTGTATTTTCTCTAAGCGAAGGAAGTATTTATGACCAAAAGGACAGAATGTGATGGACTATATTATTACTCTTAACCATTTTCTCCCACCCTACAGAAAGATTATAGGGACTGAGGATGCAGCTCAGTGGTGTAAGAAAAATGATCTTTTCTATCAAAGTATTTGTTACCCTCTTAGATTACTTAAAAATTCCTCAAGTCACCATCTTAGGTGACTTGCATGTTTAAAGGGTCCTTGCTTCTTCTTCTGGATTCCTGTACAACTCCACTGTCCGCCAAAGTGCAAGCCCTAACCCATCCCCCAAGCCTTTTAGCCAATCGGGAAAGACTGTGAGCCTTTGACCTGGACAAGTCCCAGGTGAGGGGCAGGTACGACTGCTGGTGTGCTTGCTCAGCCGAGTGAGCACACGCTTGCACCCTCTTGATCAAGAGAAAATTGCCTTGTCAAGATTTTCTATCTCTTGTGTGTCTGTTTTCAGCACTAGAGGGTTATCAATTCCAACAGTGGTAATGTACATGCTCAGCAAGGCCTTGAGTTTGATCCCCAGCATGACAAAATAACTAAGTATAAATGAATAAAAATAAAAAGATTATACTTTTCTGCTTGTTATCATGTGACCTGCAACACTTACCTATAATCACAGTATACTTCTGTATCCCACTGTCTGGACTGACTACAATGTGCTTAGGTCAATAGAAAGGGAACACAAGGGACAGGCCAGTTTGGCCTAAACTTTAAGAGGCACTATATGATTCTAACTGCTCTCTTGCTTTTATTCCAAGAAGGAATCCATGGGCACAACATGTAATATAAGTCAGATCTAAATGGATTAGGAATTGTGTTGCAGCAAAATCTAATGCAAGTTAACCGCATACCTAATCTCACAGTATGTTCTTAATGGCCAAGGACGGAACTCAGCGGTACAGCAGGTGCCTAATATCCACAAGTCCCTGAGTTCCATCCCCAGAACCACGAAAACAAAACAAAACAAAACAAAAACAAAAAACCCAACTTCATTTTTAAAAGTTCATTTTTAAGATGTTAAAACATATTTTCCAGTGTAAGTATGCTGGTAGTAATACAAAAACTCCAAATCTATACAACTTACGTTTTGGAGCTCTTTCAGGAGTCCTAGTGTCATTGATTTTTTCTTCTTTGGCAGATTCCTGACTTTCTGAAGACTTTGGCTTTTTTCTTTGGCGAACATCTGTATGCGGTTCTTAAAAATATTTAAGACATCATTGCAATGTGTGTATCAATCATCTGAATCCCAGGTTGATTAACTTTCATTATACTAAAGCAAGTCACATTGAGACCTGCTAGTGCCAAAGATAACATTTTCATAATTATGTTATCACAACCCCCTGCACAATTATCTTCCATTTAAAAAAAAGCCAATACAAGCTTGACCACTACCACTATCACCATATTTTCAGAATCCAACTGATAAACCAACAAGTTCTTCTCCTTTAAACAAACTTCTTCTAGAATGATAGGGAGACAAGATATTATTTAGCTTACTATTTTAGTTACCTTAGAGTATCAACTGCATCATCCATGAATGAACAGTTTTTTTAAAAAATCAAAACACAACGCATCAATTATAAAACTACACTTTTTCGTGTAGCTGAGATCAGGAGGACTGCAGTGAGGTCAACCTGAGGAAAAGAATTTGGGAGACTCCATCTCAACAGAAAAAAGGTAGGCATGGTGGCATGTGCCTGTTATCCCAGCTATGGAGGGAAGCTTAACATAGGAGGATCTCGGTCCATGACAGCCTGGGAAAAAAGTGAGTCCCTATCTCCAAAATGGGCTGGAGACAAGGCTCAAACACTAGAGTGTCAGCCTAGTAAATGCAAAGCCTCAAGTTCGAACTCCAGTACTGCCAAAAAAAAATCTTGAAAGTTATGCAGTTTCACAGTACTAAGGTATCATCAGCACTCTTATAGACTAGGTGTCAGAAAATAGGCTGAACCTATAAAGATTCTATAATACATGTGGGAAGCTCTCAGAAAAAAATTCCTAGTATTAGACTATCTTCCCTTTTTATCTTCAACAAAAAAAATCTAATGAAGAAGTTACCTACAAACCAGCAAACTAAATTCCAAACTGAACAGGAATTTGCTATAGATAATATAACTATTTTTTCTTTCCTAAAATTATCTTGTGGGGTAGTATAAGTTCAGAGTGTCCCTGTCAAATTTATAATGTGGTCCAGGAACTGACTGATCTCTTTTAAAGGAATGGAAGAGAGGGGTTTTTTTGTTTTGTTTTTTGTTTTCTCTAATAACTTCAGGCTATGACATATGAGTCTAAATAAAGGAGTCAAAAAAGGAGAAATTAATCAGCAACTGCAGATGATCAGATGAATGGCTCTCTAGCTTTCTTATGAAAAATGAATAAACCCAGTATATCTTTAAAGTTTTATACAAATTCATATGTTCACTAAAAGATCTTTTTTTTTTTTTCCTGTTTTGGCAGTACTGGGATTTGAACTTAAGGCCTCATGCTTGCTAGGCAAGCACTCTACCACTTGAGCCACACCTCCAGCCAACACTAAAATGTCTTTAAACACCATCATAGTAAGAAAAAACTGAAGACTGGAGGCATGGCTCAAAAGATAGAGTGCCAGCCTAGCAAGTGTAAGGCCCTGAGTTCAAACTCCAGTACTGCAAAAAAAAAGAAAAGAAAAGAAAAAAGAAAAAACTGTACATTTAGTAGATCCAGTTTGACAGGTTTAGGTTTTACCCATTTCAATACTACCATATGTTTTGCAGTCAAGTAATAAAACCAGTGAAATGATATTATTAGAAAATTCATAACTAAGATTTTGAATATTTTTATATAAATCTGGGACAATTAATAAGCATTACTATATTCCTTCTCTATGATGTTCTTTTAATTTTCCCCTCTGGGGTAAACCAAAAGTTACAGGTAATCAGGAAGAATGAAATATGAAAAATAAAATCTTCAAAAGCAAATTATTTTTAATTTTATCTAAAAAGCATACAAGGAGAAGAAATAACCACAAGAAGTTTTCTAAGTAATTATACTTCCTAGATTAAACACATCAATTTTATTGGGCTTAAAAATTAATTGGCTAATTTTAGAAATCAATTTAACGAATCTATTGAGATAGCTAATAAATGCAGTATAAATGAAATGCACTAGGTAGATAAGTCTTTTCTATTAGAAAGAGTTTAAAAATACACAACTAAGATAAAGATAAATTGGGAAGGGAACACATAAAAAGTGTTCTTACAGAGGAATATAATTCAGAAAGCCTGGGTTCAATTTCTAGCACCCTCACACTCCCAAAAAAAGTGCTCTTACAAAATTTTTCTTTACCATGTGTACATCACTTTACAGGGATTATAGTTAAATTGTTCTCTTTGTGCACATGAACAGATATTTTGAAAAGTACAATTTACACAGATTCTGAAATAACTTATGAACTATACAAATCTTAGCAGTTATCACTCAAGAATCTATATTATCAATGGTCAAAGGACGTACAAATATCTATAAAGGATTCTCTTGGTTCTAAAATGCCATACATTTTAAGGTACTACTTAATAAATTTTTCAAGGGGAAAATCACTACAGTATATTGAATGCATGCACTGCTTTTAAGACCTGTCAATTTTAGTGGCATTAAACTGTGGAGCAAAAAACACAACCTGGGAAAGACAGTATTTTATCCAATTTCAACTTTGTTCCTACAGCCAGCCTTCTCCTGTCACCAAAAAACAAAATACAAATTTCACCTCATTTCCTTTCCATTGGACATACAGTTTCATAACTGAAGGACAAAGCTAAATGGCTAAGAATGTAGCTCAGTGGTAGAGAGCTTAGGGTCTAGGTTTGATCCCCAATAGTGACCATAAACAAAACAAAACAAAAACCAGGTAGGTGGAAACATAGTGAAAACCAAAAAAGCAACAAATTTAATTATTAGTTCTGTTAGGAAATCTTTGGACTGAAACTTGAATTCCCTTTTCCAAAGATTATATTTTTAGCATTATAAAGAAAAAGTCAAACTAAATGAAAATGATTACATATACACAAAAACAATCTATTTCAGTCTCTAGTCCAGTAACTATCATAGGAAATAGTAGGGTTACAAATCAACTTGCAAATGTTCATGAAGACTTCACAGAGTAATTTCCAAGCAAAATGTTAATCCTGTTCTACTCAAAGTTTGTCACTTCTGTCTTTGCACTAATATTTCTTTCAGGAAGTATAAATATAAGCATCCTGACCCTCTACTGCTTCAGAGAATTTTTGCGAGGCAGGCACTGTACCACTTGAGCCACACCCTCCAGCCCAGGAAGGCCTTTCAACGAAGATATATATCCTACCTAACATAGCAGAGATCCAAATATTTATGGAATGAAAACACGTGTTGAATGGAACTGTACTTTCATAATTGAAAGTATACATATTTGAAAACTGCAACCCATTTTTGTTTTATATTTATTTTTTGATTACCTGTAAGTCTACAACTTATATCCAAGCAAATTTTACAAAATGGTATGTCTTTTAATTAGTTCCACATTATAACTATTTAATTAGGCATAACTATCAACTCCTAAGTAACTTTTTTTGTTTGATGTATATTAAAGACTTTGTATTTCGGTTTTAATACTTTTTATATTTTAACTTCAGCATGAATGTATTCAGGGGAACATGCAAGCTACTTTATCAACCTACTCCCATAGATTTGCAGCTAGTCAGGAAAGCAAAATACAATCAAGAAATATTTCAGGGCTGGGATGTATGTAAGCTCAGTGGTAGAGCGCTTGCCTAGCATGCAGGAGGCCCTGGGTCTGATCCCAGCACCAAAAAAAGAAAGAAAGAAGTATTTCAAATGATAACATACTGCAGCCACAGAAGCTGTTTTTAGGTGGTGCATCTTCATTACGGAAAATTCAAGGAAAAGAAGATAGAGCTGAAGCAAAAGCAGAGCATAGGGTCTGACCACCAAGTCACAGAACAACAAACACTTCATACACATACTCATTTGTTTTTAATTGCTTTCCACTGAATTCTTAAAACTCCCTTCTTGCACTCTTGGTTCAAAGAGTCCTACATCTAAATTAGATCGTCTTCCTATGAAATTCACAACTCCACCAGTAAGGTAAAATCTTGTTTTCCAGCAGGACGCAACATCTAACTGTTCCAATGAGTGCTCAGTCCCGTAAGCCTGACCTGTTCCCGACACTAGCAGCGGTACCATGAAGTTACTATGCCATGTACATTTCCTTGTACTGTCTATCATTAACTGGTAAGTTTCTCCCAGCTTCCCATTTTCCTCTCACACCTATCACTTTCTATGAATACATGTTGCTGGCTGCATTAATTTTCGTGGCATTGGTCCTGAGGGGCCTTGAGCCTTCAAGGTTCAACTGGCCTTGAACCTTCAAGGTTCTCCTGGCCTCCTGATTCCCCCAGACGCCGTGCATGCCTCTACCGTTCTGGCATCACTCCTAAACCCTAACTTGAACTTAGTCCTTTTACTGTCAGCGCGTCCATTCCTTCCCACTTCACCTTAGCTCGGGTATGCGTGTCCAGCCCCTCTCATACTCGGACTTGATGTCTGGGTCACAAACCTTTAAAGAGCGCCCAGAGAATGAGCGGCATTTATCTAAACTCACATCCAAACATGCATGGTGCACCTAAACCTACATATTCTAAAGCAGTTTAGGCCCCAGACTCCATTAAAGATCAGCTTCGACCCTCAGCTCAACACCCCGCCCCCAGCACAGCTTTCCCCCTCCCCATCGACTCCCAACTTTAAGTTCCACCTTTGCTTCCCACTTCGGCCAACAAAACTTCGGGCCCCGGACTCCGCTCCTCCCGAATTCTCCGCAAACCCCAGCCGCCCGCTGCTTCCCGCCTTCCCCGCGCCTCAGCCGCCCGCAGCCCGGGCCTCCCGGCCCCGGGCGTCCCCGCCCCCTCCCCGACGCCGCGGGCGGCAGTTACCGCTCTGGGCTCCAGGGCCGTCACCTTCTTCCTTCGCCATCATCTCCGCGGAGGCCCTAAGGCTCCCGCACGGCAGGGTGTCTGACGCCCTCAGCGTCGCCGAACCCCGCGGGCGCCCCGAGTCCACTCCCGACTGCCGCGCCCCCACTTCCTGACCCGCCCGCCTTTGGTGTCGCCGCCAACTGCGTCTTCCCGGGGCAGCGTCGGAACCAAATTGCAGGGAGCGGAAGGCGGCGGGAGCGTCTCGCTGGGACGCCTGGGCCTTCGCAGACCGGAAGGAGACGCCAGGCTGGGGCCACTGCCCACTCTTGGCCGGCTCCTCCGCGGAGAAGCATCGCTGGTGCGGCTCGTGGCAGCCCTGCCGAATACGGGTACCGACTGTGCTTTCCATGGCTTTGTGACTCCACTCAGGGAGTCAGGCGATCAGCTGCTCCTTCCAGATCCAGCCACCAAGTCCGGCCCTATTTTGTGAACAGGAAACGGGTCCAACGCGAAGCAAATCACAAAGCTAGTGTACTAGAACTGGAACCCAGAGCTCCGAGCTGTTGTCAGTGCCTGCATCCCATGGAGATTTCAGAGCGGGACAAAACATAGGCTTTTTTTTTTTTTTTTTTTTTTGGCGGCATGGGGTTTGAACTCCGTGCTTGCTAGACAGGCGCTCTTCCATTTGAGCCACTCCCCCAGCCCTGTTTTGTGTTGGGTGTTTTCGAGATAAAGTCTAGAGAACCCGGGCTGGCTTTGAACGAGGATCGCTGCCTACAGAGTAGCTAGGATTATGGTCACCGGCGCCCAGCGCTTTGGTTTTCATTTATTTATTTATTTGACATGGTCTTGCTATGCAGCTCAGGCTGGCCTCGAACTCCTACTGTCCTGCCTGTACCTCCAGAGTGCTGGGATTACAGGCATGACCCACGCCTTAACCTGATTTAGAAGACTTTTTGACCATTACAAAAAAGAAGCTTGTGCCAGTCACCAAAGCATTCGCATGTCTTGATATTTCAGGAAAAAGACAATAATACTCTATGGTGTGTGAAAGGAGGTATGAGTGAAGATATTACACAGCAAAAACTTTAATTTGTAATACTGTGTATGTCTTCACTTCTGTTACATTCGACATTCATTCTCCAACTTTTTCCCCAACAGTACTTGGATGTACATTTAGAACTGACAAAATAATCGTTTTTAGAGCAGAAATAAGCACAAGGTCAATGAAGTGATAGGGTAATGATTGATGTCCCTTTATTAGCAGGCAGCAAGACTCTCCTAAAAGCACCTTGAGTAAGCTAGGGTATTTGGGGAGAAGCTATAATTGTGTTAGAGCTGGGAAAAAACAGTTCCTGGAACTCTTTTTATGTCTTTGGTAGCCTGAATATATCATATGCCTACATATGTCTTTTGCGGCCAAGCAAAACTGCGCCAGGAGTTAGAAAACTGTAGACCAGAAAAGGCCTCTGGTCAAAGCAGAGAAAAAACTGAAGGTATGAACCTTGAAAACCACAGGATATAACAGGGTCCCTGGACATGGGCAGCAGATACTGAAGTGTCCTGCTTATCAGATCTTTGTGCTGGAAGAGCTACACCCTATGGGACACCAATACAGAGGCCATTGTGTGTCACTGTTGTCCTTGTCTAGGGTCTGGAGGTGCCATTTTGTAGTTTTGTTGCTGTTTGTGCAGTACTGGGTGTTGAACCCAGGGCTTCAGTACATAGGCAGGAGCTTTACCACCTGAGTCAGTCCTACAGTCCTTTAGTTTGTATAAGGTTTTTGAGGTAGGGTCTTGGTAACTTTGCCCAGTGTGCCCTCCAACTCATGATCCTCCTGCCTCTGCCTCTCAAGTAGGTAGAACGACAGGTGTGTATAACCACACCCAGCCATACTGTATTTCTTTCATGATCACCTAAAGGTGGCTAATGAACTTTATTGTAAATTTGTCTACTATATACAGTAGTGGGGAAAAAACACTAGAGAAAAAACAATTTAAATGAGAAATGGAAATATGAAAGAATATAGAATTATTCAATCATTAAATAGAAATTAACAGACTAGCGATTGTATTCTCTAGTGGAAACATTCTTCCCTGGAGTCCTAAAACCTCCACATAAGGATAAGAGTGGAATACCTTATCCCCAAACTAGTGTAACCTGCTGTGAAAGAAACAGTCCATTTTTCATTCAAAATGCATACTTCATCCAAAAAGAACTCTTAACTGCGCAAGATGTTACCTTGCAGCAGGCAGTATAGTTGAGTTTTCATTCGTTCATAATTCCTAAAGGCCAGTTGCTTCTAGATGACAGTGCACATGGCAGGGACATGGCCCTAAGATGACTTTAGGTAATAACTATATTGACACTTCTATCACTGCAAAGCATGGGCTGTTAGGTTCCCACCCAAAATCTAAATCTAAATCCTCTTTGCCTCTCCTTAACCAATTCTAAACATACCAGATTTATCACATGGCCTTTTATTTCCAAACTATTCTCAAAGAGCAATATGATTTTCTGACACCTTCAAAAGACTGAGGCCCCTTTCTGGATGCCATTGATGTTTAGGGTGTGATGTGAAATATTCTTTGCTTTAAGAAGTTAAGTCTTGTGTGGGGTGCCGATGGCCCACTTTTATTATCCTAGCTACTCAAGAAGCAGAGATCAGGAGGATCATGGTTCAAAGTCAGCCCAGGCAAATAGTTCCTTGAGACCCTATCTTGCAAAAACCCTTCACAAAGAAGTTAAGTCTTGGGCTGACAATGTACCTCAGTGGTAGAATGCTTGCCTGCCTAGCATACATGAGGCCTTGGATTCAATTCCCAGCACTGGAAAAAAATTAAGTCTTTAGGAACTGTGGATTGGGAGCATTAAACTGGGTGAGAAAAAGACGTAGAATAGAGCAATGGAAATAAAAATATTCAAAGAAAATGGACTCAAAGCTTGTGGCAATGCAATCTGCAGGACCTGATGACAGATTGCATCTGATGATTCCTGAGGTTTCTAGCTTCAAATCAATCGCGTATTTTGTTGTTGTTTTGGTGGAACTGGGGTTTGAACTCGGGGCTTGGCGCTTGCAAGGCAAGTGCTCTACTACTTGAGCCACGCCTTCAGCTCTTTTTACTCTGGTTGTTTTGGAGATAAGGTCTTGATTTTTGCCCAGGCCAGCCTGGGTAGAGATCCTATTTCAAACTCCTTACTATATGACAGGTACATGCCACTATGATTAGCTTTTTTTTAAATTTTGTTTTGCCAGGACTGGCTTCAAGCTACCATTCTCCAATCTCAATCTCCCAAGTAGTTTTCCTCTCCTTTCAGATAGTAAGCCCTCTACATATTTGTGAAATTGAATTATGTGCACATACATTTCCAGGTAAAATTCAAGACATATTAGTATAAGGATACCCCATGCAGTATTTGGAACATATACTAAAAATTAGTTGTCATTTATCTGAAATCTCATTTGAGTATTTTGGGTTTTTTTTTTGTTTTGGCTAACTCCAGCAAATCTATTTATGGGAATTGGATTGAGACTGTTCCCCTAGAAGACACGTAGCATTGATTGACCTCAGGCCTTTTTAGCATATGTAAAGGACAGACAATTCTTATTTTGAAAGAGGGAAGGCAGTTTGATAGCAAGTGGATTCTGAGTTCCTCAGTTCAGACCTCAGTCCAGAGCTGTGTGAACCTAGTATGGTTCTGGGGCTGCTACTGAAGCCTTTCTCAGCCAGTGCAGATCATTCACCTAGGTGCACACCTATGTATGAGGACCAATCACACTCCAGATCATACTTACCTTCAAACCAGAAGAACACAGTGATTTTGGGGGCAAAGTGTTTTCCACCAAAATTGTGACCTACCACCATAATTTTTTTTTCTTTTTTGCGGTACTGAGGTTTGAACTCAGGGCCTACACCTCAAGCCATTCCACCAGCCCTTTTTTGTGATGGGTTTTTTTTGAGATAGGGTCTTGTAAACTGTTTGCCTGAGTTGGCTTCGAACCTAGATCCTCCTGATCTCTGCCTCCTGAGTAGCTAGGATTACAGGCATGATCCACCAGTGCCCAGCTACAATAAAAATTTATATGTAACAGGGAAACAGCCATGACATTTTTCTTTTTTAATGCAGGAAAATGTCATCAGTTATGAGAGGATTTTAAAATAGAAAAAGGAGTTTTAGCCAGGTGTAGTGCTACATGCCTGTGATTCTAGTTACTTGGGATGCTGAGGCAGAAGGATCACAAGTTCAAGCCCAGCCTGGGAATTCGGTGAGACCCTGTCTCAAAATAAAAAGGACTGAGGATGTAGCTCAATGGAAGAGTCCTTGCCTAGCATGAGAAAGACCCAGGTTCCATCCCCAGTACTGCCTCTGCCATATTCTCTAAATCCTCTGGCTAAGAATTGGATCCTGAAAAAGGCATTAACACCCTGTGTCCAGTAGATGGCATAAGCAGCCAAACACATTATGTTTAGGTAAATTTCATACCAAACTGGTTGAATGTATAGTTCAGTATAAAAAGTAACTCTGAATTTGTACTCCAGTGTACAAACCATACAGTTAATAAATGTATTAACCTGCTTTAAATTGACAAAATGGTACTAAAGAAAATTATTTTTTGCTATTTAGAAACATTGAGTTTATAAGAAAAAAAATTTGGATAAGGTGGTGCTGGGATCAAACCCAGTGCATGGTACATGCTAGGCAAACCCTCCACCACTGAGTTATAGCCCCAGTTAAAGATTATAAAGATTCTAAAAACCTTATAGAATCACATCACTTTTCACCTGCAGGAATAAAACTTATTTATCCACTCAACAGATATTTATTGTATACATCTCAAGCACTGCATAGTCATGAAAGACACAGTGGGGAACAAGAGCCATATTGCTGTCCAACACCAGTGGCTCACACCTATAATCCTGGCTACTTGGGAGGTTGAGATTAGGGGATGACAGTTTGAGGTGAGCCCAGGCAAATACTTCGCAAGACCCAATCTACAAAATAACCAGAGCAAAATGGGCTGGCAGTTTGGCTCAAGCAGTAGAGAGCCTGATTTGCAAGCATGAAGCCCCGAGTTCAAACCCTAGTCGACAAAAAAAAAAAAAAAAAAAAAAAAAAGGGACTTGAAGGTTTGTTACACATTCTAGTCCTCTTGCTCTACTACATTACCCATATCAATTCCATATCCTCCTGATGGCCTGTTTCATGTACGAAGAGAGCAGCAGCACCAGGCACACTCCCAGGAAGATGGATAACAGAAACACTACTTAGCCCAGCCCACTTTGATTCTGAAGAAAGCAAGGAACAGCCTGGGTAACATCAAGTGCCTGTCAGATACCAAAAGCAAGCAGAAACATGGAAGAGACCTCAGCTTGCTGCAAAAACTTTGCTTCCTCTTCACAATAAGTGATGGCAGGACCAAAAACTGAAACACAAAAGTGAAAGTGATTGTTCCACTTTTGTAAATAATGTTGGTAAGGACAGGAAAACCCTGTCCAAGTGGCCCATTCAATTAATGCTTAATGAGAATATCCTGAATAGAGCTGACAGAGTGACTCAAGTGGGAGAATGCCCTGAGTTCAAACTCCAGTATCACCCAGAAAAAAAAATATCCTGAGTAAACAGGGATGTGCTAGACATTAAGGAAAATACAGGTATGTTTCTGCCATGAGAGTATACTCTAGTTCTAAAACTGATACACTTGAGCTCTAAAGCAAAAATATGTCAAGCCAGGTGCAGTTGCTTAAGCCTGTAATCCTAGCTACTTGGGAGGCTAAGATCATGATTGAATCAATAAAGCCAGACTGGGCAAAAAGTTCACAAGACCCCCATCTCAACCAGTAGCTGGTGTGGTGGTCTGATCTGTTATCCCAGTTACATGGGGAAGCATAAGTAGGGAGGATCCAGTGCAGAACAGCCCAGACATAAAGAAAAACCCTATCTCAAAAGCAATCAATGCAAAAAGGGATGGTGGAGTGGCTCAAGTGGCAAGAGCACTGCCTAGTAAGCAATGGTCCCTGAGTTCAACCTCCAACACCATACTATCCCACTCCCCCCCCAAAATGAATATGTATGTCAAGTAAGTGATATTGATAGACATGTTGCTCTGAAAGTTAAGTCAGCAATACCTAACTTGGGTCCTAAAATCTAAATTAGAGAACTCAGCATCAGCAAAGACAAATTGGAACAAACAAGGTGTACATGGAATCCAGAAGCATCAACATTCCAGATCTTTAAATAGGTTTGCAAACTGTCAAGCATAGTTACAAGACACAAGGACCACATATCTGTCATAGCTATTGAGAACTTAAAAATAAAATTTCAATGGTTTATACTCCTAAGAATGGTTGCTTGGCCAGTATCTTGAGTGCACTGACAATCGACAGCCTTTATAATTTCTTACGGTAAACTCAGGAAACACCCTACTACCTCAGAAAAAGGTGGCTTTAGCTTAGTTTTTTAATAACAAGAAAAGAATGCAAACATTGAGATTAAGCAGGCAAGTTTTATTATCAAATGTAACAATTCTACAAAAACTCAGTAGTATTGTAGTATCACTGCCTATCTTAGTCTTCTAGAACTTTGGGAAGAGAGCATCTTAAGGCATCAAGTATAATGAACTTTTTTTCTGATCTTAAGTGCCAGTTCTTATCAATTTTTCACAAATTTTTTTTCTGTCTTTTTTACTACTGCAGTTAATGGGCAATTGCTGGTCAGGTAAAGAAGGTAGTGTTTGGCTCTCCATTCGAGATGTTAATCAAAATAATGCAAAGTAAATAAAAATAGCAGCCACAAAAATCCACATGGCATTGCATCCAAGCAAAAGACAAATGAGTAACAAAGAAATATGTGCACTTAACCAAATTGTTTTCCTCTTTGGAGTTACATAAGGCAGCAGTACTAGCTAGCTAGTGTCTAATATTGCACTTTTGTAGCATTAACACAGCTAAACACATAGTGTTAAACACTTTGCTCTAACAGCATCAGTGTTTATCTCTCAGTCTAGCATGCTGACTACAGTCCTATGCTTTAAAAAGTTTTAAGTATTTGACAGTAAGGCATCAGAGAAAAAAGTTTAAGGCTATCTTAATATATACAAGCAATCACTTCAGTTAGTATATTGCTTTCTAGAATACACTGTTCAAATAGTCTTATTTTTGTGATATTAAAAACTATTGGGTTTCTCTTATTAAAGTTCAAACCATCAACAATGAAAAAAAGTACAATATAAAATAATACATATGAAGCCGCAATATTCAGTTACAGTTCAAACTAGAAATGACTAACTACATGTAGCTGCTTCATTTTTGGTTTTGCATTTTGGCCCCTACTTCATTCCTATTTACAACCAGTACCTGCTGAGAAGAAATCCAAACCTTTTTAACTAGGTGCAGGTTCTAAATTATCCTCAGATGTTCGTGTTTGTGTGTGTTGGGGGATGGAGGGGGGTTGCTAGGGATCCAACCCACAGCTGCACACATGCTAGGCAAATGTGCTACCTCTGAGCTGTGTCTCCAGCCTGCATCAGGTGTTTTTAAAATCATGTTACTTGGTTTTAAACTATAAGATATCATGATCACTAAGAGATCAAGAGAATATTGGTTTTAATCCTTTTACAAGTTTGTGATTTAGTCATTCCAAGACCTTATGCTTGAATTACTTCAAGCATAAGTGGACAGAAAAGAGAGACAGAAAGAAGCGGGTGAATACACAAAAATGAACCTTCCAGAACAGTTAACAGTGAAGACACTAGTGGAGTATTTTTTAATCCAAGATTTAAACTTAGGAAACACCTCTGATGCCACATTAGCTGGAAGTAATAGAGACATTTGATTTCAAATTCACATTTAAATGCCTATCTGTAATCAACAAGGAGCCAGGTATATATGCTGCATGGTGCTATTAGGATTTGGCTTTGCTGACTCAAATTTTTCACTCCACCAAAAATAAGGCACAAGTAAGGCCCATGGTCCAATTACATTTGCTGAAATACTGCAGCCTGAGTGTAGACAAACTTCACCTGAAATTGCTAGAAGTTTTCTTGTGTCTGATCGTTTCAGGATCACAATATGTCTTTCAAACACTGAAAAAAATGAATGGAAAAGAATGTTATGATCTCTAAATTTTCAGTAGCCACAAAATCAATCTCAAATTCTTAAAGAATTAAAACAAATTTTTACTTCACACAGAGTTGGCATTTACATAGTAAATGACAGTTGGCATTTTCTATAACTCCCTATCCTTTGTATTACCATTTATACTTCCATATTCAACTCAGCTCCAGTTTCATCCAATCTCTAGTCTGGGTTCCCAAGTTATCACAGCACTCTTCTAATATTAAAAGTTCAAAATCTGTATCAATGCCAGGCGCCAGTGTAATCCTAGCTACTAAGAGGCAGAAATCAGGAAGATTACGGTTCGAAGCCAGCCCTGGGCAAATAGACCCTATTTCAAAAAGTACCCACCACACACACACACACAAAACAGGCTGACAGAGTGACTCAAGTGGTAGAGAGCCTACCTAATACTGCCTAACAAGCATGAGGCAGGAGGGAGGGAAGGAGAGGTTCTTTCAAACCCCAGTAACTACAACAACAAAAAACCCCCGAAAAAACAACCACCAAAAAAATAGAATCAAAATTTCAAAAGACAAAATTTATTTAATTATTTATTGATTGGTAGTGCTGGGGTGTGAACTCAGGGCCTCACACTTGGTAGGCAGATGCTTTACCACTTGAACTACTACGAGTGCCCTAAGTCAAAAATTTTAAGTTCTAGTATAAAAGTAAGGTTCTTGCCTCACAAGCACAAAGCCCTGAGTTCAAGCCCCAGTACTGCCAAAAAAAAAAAAAAAAAAATCAAAAAATGTCTAACTAAAACATTATAATCAAGAAGAACCAAGGCAGCTGGGCACTGGTGACTTATGGCTGTAATACTAGCTACTCGGGAAGCAAAGACCAGGAGGATCGCAGTTCAAAGCCAGCCCTGGGCAAATAACTCGGGGGGACTATATGTCAAAAAAAAAAAAAAAAAAAAAAAAAATCACAAAAAAAGGCTGGTAGAGTTACTTAAGTGGTAAAAGCACCTGCCTAGCTAGTGTGAGGCCCTGAGTTCAAACTCAGTGCTAGCAAAAAGAAAAAAAAAATGTTTACATGCCTTTAGCACCTTTATATTGATCAATTTATTTAATTCCCACATACAACACTTTAGCTTATCATCTCAGCCCTATTTTATGTATGTATGTACTGGGGTTTGAACTCAGGGCTTCATGCTTGGTAGGCAGCTCTTTACCACTTGAGTCACTCCACCAGCCCTTTATTTTACTTATTTTTGTTTGGTTTTGGTGTTATCAGTGTTTGAACGTGGGGTCTCATACATGCTAGAAGGCATCTACTACTTGAGCCACTCCACTAGACTTTTATTTTACTTATTGATTGTAGTGCTGGGAATCAAATCTAAGTTCTGGCATGTGCTAGCAAGGGCTCTGCCACTGAGCTACACTGCAATCCCCTCTGGCCATTTTGAGACTGGGGAAATTGAAGCAGAGAGTGATTAAGCAAGTATAGTCAGTCCTCCATATTGGTGGGATCCATGTCTGTGGATTCAAATGAATGCTTATAAATATTCAGACGAAAGAATCACATCTTAAACATGTACACACTTTTTCCCTTTCTCCTTGTTCCTTAAATAGTACAACAACTGCTTCTAAAGATAATTTTACTGCCTAAAGATAATTCAAATTGTATGAGAGGATTTGTGACGGTTATAAGCAAATACTACACCACTTTACACCATGGGGTTCTGGAACCACCCTGCCTGAAACCAATGCATGATCTAGGATTTGAACTAATACCGAGAGGTTTCCCTTATGTCATTTTATTTATATACCATACACGTGAAAACTTCAGCTAGGCATTATGTATACTTTCACACGTAAATGAGAAACATGAAGATAGAAATAGCTCTTCAGAGTTCAGTCTTATTTCATATGGCCAGTATGAAATGTGGTCAAGACTAAATTCATGGGACTGGAGGTATGGCTCAAGCAGTAGAGCACCTGCTTTGCAAGTACCAAGTCCTGAGTTCAAACCCCAGTTATATTCCCCTCCTCCTCCCCCAAAAAAGACTAAATTTGCTTTAATAACAGGGATGATACATTTGGTACATATTTAAAATCAAATACTTAAAAAGCACTGAAATAGGCTAATTTGTTAGAATTCATGGGTAAAATGTGGTGGTTACATGACCAAAATTTAACTCTTAGATTAAAACTGAAAGGCTTCTCCTTGAATACAGATAAATGCGGATAACAAAGTCTATTGCCTTTTTTGGAGGGGTGGGGGTGATAATGGGGTTTGAGCTCAGGGCCTACACCTACAGCCACTCAACCAACCCTATTTTGTGATGGGTTTTTTCAAGAGAGAGTCTTGCAAACTATTGGTCTGGGCTGGCTTCAACTACCATTCTCCTGATTTCTGCCTCCTGAGTAGCTAAGACTATAGGCATGAGCCACTGGCACCTGGCCAATTTTGCCTTTCTTTTGGCAAGAGTACACTTATTTTCCTTGAAGAATTGCCTTTCTCCTTACCCAATCTCACCCTGTAAAGAGTTAAATTTGCAAATGAGCTGAGGAAGTAACCCAGCTTTATCTGAAGAAAGCCCTACACAATCTGGGCCATAGTGGATTCAGAGATGGAGGTAAGTCATGTCAGCAACACTCAATTCTTGGGTGCTCTGGACTTGAAAATAAAAGGGTATAAACCAGGTGTTGCAGTGGGTACCTCAAGGAAATGAGCCTGACTGAGAGCAAGCACCTATATCCACTCATATTAATCAACCCTAGCACTTCAGTTACCAGTCAAGGAGTTCCACCTTCCTCATTCCCAGCACATTGTATTATACTAGGAAGCATACTTTTGTAAATGCTGAAAATCATACCCCCAGACTATGTTACAATGTGGAAAAGGCCAAAGTTGTTAAAAAGAAGTTAAATGTTTAGCCTTCTCAGACCTGCTCCCCCCCCACTTTTTTCTTTTTTTTTTTTTTGAGGCGGGGTTGGGGGGACTGGGGTTGAACTGAGGGCCTCACCCTTGATTTACAGAAACCCTACTGATTGAGGCCCTCTGCCAGCCCTCAGACCTGCTTCTTAATCCCAGTGATCTCTAGTGGAGTTTTAGTATTTAGAAAAGAAGTTGCAGGATCCTATCGGCAAACCCAATTCAATAAAAAAAAAAAAAAAATCTTGAAAGGAAATGGAGAAAATGTTTACTTCCTCTTCTTTAGCTATAAAGCAAATATTATGATACAAAGACAAATTTAAAAGTTTTAACTGCAAACATCACAAATCTGTCTTTCCTTTCTAATAAGATGTGTGTTAAAACAATGTTTTATTTTGTAATAAACTATCATTAAAAACGTTATATACACAGGAGCTTTTTTTTTTAAAGATACCTGGATGTCACCAACTGGAGGTGTGTACTTTTGGAATGAACCTATAGCCTTCTTAAAAACCCTACAATTATGGGTAGTTATAATGTTTTATTTTCTTAAAATAATTTTCATGTGTTTTTCTGAAAAGTATAGGTCATTTATGAGGGTTTTCTTGCTTTGGTTAGGTCAAACAGCTACTTTTCCCTCATGTATGAGATAAATAAATCCCGTAACTCAGAATTTTTAATCAAAGAAAACTTGTTAGTCTTTTTTTCTTATTTAAATGAATGAAATCAGCATTTACTGAGCTGTTCTTACCCACTAATATAAATACTACTTAGAAGAGTAAGCAGGCTTAATTTTAAAAGCTATTTATTTCTTGCCCAAAAGATATCTATTAAAATATTTTTTGGTTAGAAACTAAAATATTGTTAACTACATTAATCCAAAATAAGAATTTATATTACAAAAGCCAGAGAACACATTCAATCCGTTAAAGCAACCCAAACTTCACACTTCAAGGAAACTCTTAATACTTTTCAATGTAGTACTTTTGCCTACATTAAAATTTAATCAGGTATTAAAAATGTGATGTGATTTTTTGTTATTTTGGACTCAATTTTATTTTTCTCTAACTAGAAAAAAGGCACACAGAACCCAGTAAAAATGTTTTTATTCCTTTTAATTATTCTGCACAAGATCTTATGAAATTGTAACATGATTCAATGCAGAATCTGAATTTTTACATTTGTCCATGAACAGTTTACCTTTTGAGACAGTGGTAAATACTGTTAATTTTCTAAGAAATCTGAGTAGAAATTTCTTTTGCCATTTAGATTGCTTTTAAAATTAAAATCTTCAGAATTAAAAAATAAATAAATAAACTCTTCAAAATAGATTTACGGAGGAAATAGAAAACACTCTCAAAAAGCCCAGGTGGTTGAGGATGATAGCAAAATGACCAAAAGGGGAAAGGAAACACTACTCAAAGTACATTAAGACCCAAGATAAGCGAAGAGATCAAGAAACAAGGAGCTTAGATCAGTTTTATTCAAAGGAAAGCTTAAAGGAAAAGGTTAAAAAACCCTAAAGGATGGAAGCATGTTAAAGGACCAAATGAGCCAACATGAATGAGCTCCCAGTGGCCAAAGCTGAAAAAATTTGAGTAACATAAAATGTAATACTGAGGCTGGGAATGGTGGCTCACGCCTGCAATCCCAGCTGTCTGGAAGGCAGAAATTGGGAAGATTTTTATTTGAGGTCAGCTGGACAAAATGCTTGGGAAACTCCATCTCTCTTTCTTTTTTATGGAGGGACAGTATTGGAGTTTGAACTCAGGGCCTCATGCTTACTAGGCAGACTTGATCCACTCCATCAGTCTCTGGGAGAACTCATCTCAACCAATAAAAGTAGGTATGGTGGTGGGCACCGGCCATCCCAGCTACACAGAAAGCATGAATAGGGAGATCAAAGTCTGGACTGGCGTGAACATAAATGTGAGACCCTATTCAAAAATTAACTTAAGCAAAAGGGCTGGGCTGTGTGCTCAAGTAGAGCACCTGCCCAGAAAGCACAGGACCCTGAGTTCAAATTCCAGTACCACCCTCCCCCAAAAAAGTAATAGATTATATTCCAAAGTATCAAATAAATATG